GGACCATACAGACTGATCACCCTGCCCCCAAATCCTCTGCTCCTGACCTATTTAGCCCTCTTCCTCCTGGGGAAGAAGAACTCTTCTTTTTTCATTCTTTTTCTTTCTTTCTTTTCCTTTTTTCTTTTCTTTTTTCTTTTTCTTTCTTTCTTTCTTTTTTTTTTTTTTGAGACAGGGTTTCTCCATGTAGCTCTGGCTGTTCTGGGACTCACTATGTAGACCAGGCTAGCCTTGAACTCAGAGATCTGCCTGCCTCTGTCTCCCCAATGCTGGGATGAAAGTTGTGCACCACCACGACCATCATACTCTTCTTTTTTTAACGTTTCCATAGTTTTGTCTTTTTCCGGCTATCATAGGACTGGAATTATTCAGTACATGGAATTTACTTTCTTTTTTTTCTTTCCTTTTCCTTTCTTAAAAACAAACAAACAAAAGATAACTTCCCCAGAACTAGCGATCCTCCTGTCTCAGCTTCCTGAGTTTTGAGATTACAGGTGTGTGCTACCACACCAGGTTAAAGGTGTATGCAGGGTTAATAATTCTTTCCCAGTTTTCTTTCCTCCTCTTCAGTGGCGGAGATGGCGCCCAGGGCCTGGTGCCTGCCAGGCCAGCCCTCTACCACCTGCTTCCTAGTCTTTTTGGCTACCCTTTCACTTAATAAGTTTATTTAAGGTATTTGTCTTTTTATGGCTTAATAGTTCATTTATTTTTCATGCCAAACAATACTCCATTGTCTAGATGTACCACAGTTCATCTGTTCACCTAGAAAGACATGTTGGGGGCTGCTAAAATTTAGCAATTATGAATAAAACCTCTGTAAACATCTGTGGCCAGGTTTTTGTGTGGATTTAAGTTTCGGCTTTGGATGGTAAATATCAATAATCACTGAATTATAAATTAAGACTATGTTTTGGAAGAAACTGTTTTATAGTGTGGCTGCAGAATTTTGCTTTTCCCCAGCATCGAAGAGACATCTATTGTTACTGGTGTCCTGTGTTTTGGCCATTTTAATAGCTAAGCAGACCTTGTTTTGGGACAGGGTCTGGCTATGTGCTTTGTAGCTTAGGCTGGTATGGAACCCATTAATCTCCTAGCTTCAGTCTCCCAACTGCTGGGATTAGAGATATATACCACCATGACTGACTCTAGATAGATTTTAAGATTATGTTTGTTTCTTGTTTGTTTTTGTGTGCTTGTGCACATGTGTGCATGCCATGGTGCCCATGTGGAGCTTAGAAGACAACTTGTGGGAGTCATTTCTCTTTCCACCATGTGGGTCTCAGGGGTTGAGCTCAGGTTGCCAGGCTTGGTGGCTGGGGGAAGGGGCTTTACCTGCTGAGCTGTCTTGCTGGCCCTGGATGGTTTTTTAAAAAAAAGAAACAGCGAATTATTTGAATAAATATCTAATAGGTTTATTGCTCCTTTTAACCTGCTTGGATTCCCTTTAGCAGAAAATGGTGCTATGGCACACTGCTGGCTGTCACTCACAGGCTGAGGGGATGGAATCCAGGTGCTGCTGACTGTGGTCCATGGTGTTGCTTTCTTCAAAACCCCATTTGATAGTATTTTCAGCAAATTGGTATTTGGGTTTAGCGGCTTTATCAGATTCAGGGACAATTTATTCTTCAATCCCCAGGGTCTTGTTGTCTCTCTTTGTTGTGTTAGCAGCCACTGAAAACCTGTGCAGTCCATGAGGGACTTTAAAGTGGTGTTTGGGAATTTTAAAAAAGTATGTATTTCTTATTTATTCTCATCTGTAATGAAAAACCTTTTTCATCTGCTCTGGCACCCTCGGAAGAAAGCCTAGACACACTATCACCTTTCACAGTCAAGGGTTGTCTTGTTAGCATTATCTTTCAGTGATGGTTAAGTAGTTAAAGTGTGTGTGTGTGTGTGTGTGAGTACATGTGTAGGCGTGCACATGTGTGCTAGAGCATGTGTGCGTGTGTGTCTGTCTGTCTCTGTGTGTGTCTGTCTGTCTGTTTCTCTGTGTGTGTGTGTGTGTAGAATACAGGGCCGCGCACAGGCTAGGCAGTGCTTTTTCACAGAGCTACATCCCCAGCCCCTTGTTAAATTTGACAGTGACATGAACTCACAGGTCTTGATGTATTTGTTCTTTGTAGTCTATTGAAGGTTTGAAGGTTACCTGTATTGAAGAGCAGGTCACTGTGTTGTTGGCAAGGACTCTCTAAGGTAGCTTCTGGTGTCTTTGGCCATGTGTCTGCTGCTCTCCGTGTTTCCTTGGTATCTGATAAAATGGGAGATTTCAAACACATCTTGTATATTCCTCACTCAGACCTGTCACCAGCCAATTTTTGTTTTTGTTTTGATTTTTTTTTTTTTGAGAGAGAGGGTCTTACTATGTAGCCCTGACTGTCCTGTAACATTCACAGATCTTGTTGCCCCTGCTTCTGGAGTGCTGGGGTTAAAGGTATATGCCACTATGTCCTTCTATCAGCCATTTTCTTCCCAAGAAACTTCAACTCCTTTAAGTAGAAAATAGTATTTTTAGAGATCATAATCTTGGTGCTAACAATACTTACAGCTATTGGTTGATCATATGTTATAGGCCTTCTGAAAGGATAGAGTTAAAAAAAATACCAACTAATTTAAAGCCATTTATGGACAGAGGATATGCCATATCTTTTTATTGATGCTTTTTTATTGATGTGGTTTTTATTTGCCTTCTGTTTTTGCAGCCATGTTTCATTTCTAACCTTTGAGGGTCCTCATTCTCAACCACACTGGGTCTGACAGAAAGTTCACGCAGTCACTGGTCTCACAACACACAGTGGCCTCCGGTTATCCAACTGCAGCCCATAGTGTGATGACTAAAGGTGGCTCCACGAAGTGGCTTACACTAATCCCCATGCTCAGGGTGGCTGAAGCAAGACAGCCACTGAAGGGCTAGCCTGGGCTACAGAGAAAGCCTTCTCAAAAACCAAAAAAGGAAAAGAGCAGTTTATGGCCTCCGCTGTTGCTTGTTCTGTTTATTGTCTGTTTATTGTTCTGAGTGTGTACTGCTCAGGATGATTGGACACTTTGTCATGATTTCTCCTTGTCTTACATTTCACCAGGGATTGATCTGGAGCCAAAGTCCCAGCCCTGTCCCTGGCCCGGTGTTACTTGGAATAGTTCTTCTGAAATAGTCACACCACCAATTTCACATCTGTTTCTGTTTTGTTTTTTATTTTGAGAATTCCTTTTTTAAAAAAGACTTATTTTCATTCATTCGTGTCTGTGTGAAAATCTTCCGTGTGTGCAGGTTCCTGTAGAGGTGTTGGAACCCGGAACTGGACTTAGCAGTAATTTTAAGCATATCTGAAGTGGGTACCGGGAACCGAACGTGGGTTCTCTGGAAGAGTAGCACTTTTGACCACCGAGAGCCATCTCTCCATCCCTGAGGATTTCTTTCTTAAACCTGAGTTTGTATAAAGTAAGATATTCAAAGAAGTCTGCCTGTCTTTGTTTCTTCTGTCTTACTCCTTTTCACCTCTGTTTAAAAAGGGGTCTGACACCCTCACACAGACATACATGTAGGCAAAATACCAATGTACATAAAATTGAAAACGAATCATTAAAAATGAATCTTTTGTAACTATCCTTTTAAATTAATTTTTTAAACTATGTAAAGGATGTTGCCTGCATGTGTCTGTGCACCATGTACACCCAGTGCCCTTGGAGGACGAACAGGGCACTGGATTCCCTGGAACTGGAGTTTTTAGATGGTTGGAAGCTGTCAGGTGGGTTCTGGGAACTCAGGTTCTGTAGAAAAGCACCCAGTGATCTAACCACTGGGTATCTCTCCAGACCCCTTTACTCTAAAGTAAAACCAGGTATTTATGTCCCAGCTCCCTTTTCTTTGTGAAAATGTAGCAAATCACGGTTTGTTCTACTTCATTTTTAAAACTTAATATTCTCTCTTGGATATTTTGTTTCATTGTAATAATATGTGATTTTGAATATCTACAGAAGTAAATTATCAAGTTAATCACTCTAAGTGACATTTGACATTCTATTTCTCTGAGAATTTATGTAAGTTAACCTCATTAAAAAAATCTTCCCATTGGGGAACTAGCTTGCCTGTGTTCAGCGTTGCATTGTGGGCACATATGAGCATGATGGAGTGGGGACTTCTGGGAGCGGTTGAGCAATGGAGCGCCCCCCCCCCCCCCGCCACGCCCGTGTGCTGCAGGAGATCCAGCAGTGTCTCCCCTCCCCCCCCCCATGCTGCTGCAGGGCTTGGGCGGAGCACAAAGCCTGACTGTGCACTGGCCCACATCAAGGTGAGACTGTGCCCAGTGAACCCGTGTTGTCTCTGTGGTAAAGTAGCGTAGCCACAGCCGCACACCAGGAAAGGAAAAGCCGGTGCCAGAGTATCAGTTAAGGGTGTTTGCCTTGTGAGGAAGGAGGGCACTGAGATCACAGCATTCTTTTAGGAAAGGACCTGGTGGCTGGAGAGGTGGCTCAGCAGTTAAGAGCAATGGCTGCTTGCTCTTCATGGGACCCAGGCACAATTCCCAGCACCCACACATAAGCTCACAACTCCTGTATAGCTCCAGGGGATCCGACACCTTCACACAGGCATGAATGCAGACAAAACACCAATGCACATAAAATAAAATTAAAGGGAAAGACTTACTGAGCACTCACTAGGTGGACGTTCATGTGAGCACTCACTATGCTCAGTCTTAACCCCCTTCTTCCACATCTGTGACCGTGGGACACAGTTATTTAATGTGCTTTGGGTCTAGGTTCCTCACAGAAAGGGAAAGAACATGGCTGCCATATGAGTATCTCAAGGTTATTGTGAGGTTCCAACTTAAAAATATATGTAAACCTCTGTTTTTCCCTCTCCAGATATCTCAGAGGAGTCTTGGTATACACTGTGGTTTGAAGTATTTGGATGGATATATATGCATGTATTTCTGTATCTGTTTGCATTGAATGAATGAATATTTGTGTATTTCTGTAACCATTTGCATGCCTGTTTTAAACAGAGACCAGATGAGGAAGCTGTGGTGGATCAGGGTGGGACCAGCACAGTCCTCAACATCCACTATGAGAAGGAAGAGTTGGAAGGTAAGAAATGTCTCATGTGACCAGGGAAAGGTTGTCTGGCTTGGAAAAAACAAGGCTTGCCTTGCCCTCGGGAGACCTGGGTTCACACCTGATGTTTTCTCCCTGGCTGTGAGACCCCCCACAAAAAAAAAATGTGACTTCCTTTGCCTCTTGGTCCTTGTCTTGAAACAAGAGCAGAGGTAACAGTACCCCCTGTCTGATAGGCTTATCGTGGGGCCCATAGGCAGCATGAGACACCGCACACAGAGCTCAGCATAAATATTAACAATAGCAAATAACCCATAACCCTTTCTCTGAGAGTGTGAAGCTCTCACTGACTCTTCATAACTGCATGGAAATGTAAGTATCTACAGATTTCAAAGAAAATAAAATATCAGTAGTTTAAAAGTTCAGTTTGGCTGTAAAACCTTTTCTTAAACCATATTTCCACTATTGGTTCTTCTTTTTCTAATTGTGCTCATTTCTACCAGATTTCTTTTTAAAAAATCTAAACAAGGAAAGGAAATATAGCAACCTACCATCAAAAGACTCAGAGTTCACAGCACAAAGTTATGTAAAAACCCCAGTGAAACAGAGGCAGGAGGAGTCAGCCTTCTTGTCCCCAACTGTCCCTAGCTTCTCACCTGCCCAACCATGACTCCTCATTATTGGTGGCATCCCTTTACGGAGGAAGGACCGTGTCCAGTGCAGCTGTAACATGGAGCCGTGTTTGCCTCCTGTGTGAGATGGCTGCCGCTTCCCCTGACTGTTGAAGGCTGTGCTGCAGCAACCTTCTGATGCCCAGACAGCAAGGGGTGTGTTTCTCTGTACTGCTTGTCCCCATCATGGGCCTTAATTCAAACTTGTGCAGGCCCCAGAGAAAACTCATTCTTTGGACAGGAAGTGAAGGAAAGCTGGGGCGATTGACTCAGGCTCTGGGTCTGTCACTGTGAAAGTGTGTGTGGTGGGGTTGTGGGGGTGGTTGGGTGTGTGGGTGGCTCTGCAGAGGTTGGTGGTTTTTGGGTAGATCAAGGTTAAGTTCTCGAAGTTATTTTGTCCCAGTGGATGGAGGGACAAGGAGAGGGTGGAAGCAGGGAAGTGCGCTGTTGGCAGGAGGCCTCCGGTGTATCAGGCACTTCATAGCTACCTTTCATCTGCAGTACTGAATCACCCCCCTGTGTGTGTGGGAGGGGGTAAGACCACCACCACAGTTCCCCAGGTAAATTTGGAGCAAGCTTTATTAAATACTGGCCAGGTCCATTCTTGGGATTCCCGGAGTATGGAGCTGGAGCATACTAGCCAGGAGCTTATAAAGGAAACCCACAAGGGTATGTATTTCCTGCCTCTGTCCAATCAGGGGCAAGCAGACATCCTGATGTGCTTCCTGCCTGCCTACCTCTGGCCTACTTGTGATCTAGCACACCCTGTGTAGTTGGGACAACCAACCTTGTTTAGAAAAGCAAAAACACATGGCTTGTTATCTTACATGAACTACAGCCCCAGCATTTTAGGAAGTTCTCTGTCCTTGGGCAAGTGGGGCTTACAGGTTAGAGGCATTTATAGATCTCTTAAGCACAGCCATTTAAACTTAAAACAGAAGTTAGCACTCAGAGTACCCCAGACACACGTTGGTGCCATTACCCTCTGTAGTTGTGGGAACTGACTTGATGGTAAGGGAGACTTGGACGGAAACCCTCTCTTTCCCACTCTGTACTTCTAGGTGGGCAGGTATAACCTCACCCTCAGGTGTAACCTCCCCTCCGGGCGTTGCTTCATCTCATACTACATTTCTTTGTGCTGTCCCATCCTTGAGGTGTGTTGTTAGTATCTCCATTGTCCTCTAGCAATCACCCTGTGGACCTCTGCTGTGAAGTGAATGTGAGTACGTTTTGTGTGCTTGGGGATAGAATAATGAACCTGGGCAAGCTCTTTTGGGTTTTGAGGGCCAGGTCTCATCCATTGAGCTCAGCTGAGGAGCAGCTGTTGGGAGCGGCATCTCCCAATGATGTCATCTCTTCCTGGTGCAGGCTCCACTCTGCTGGGGAAGAAAACTGTGGGATGACACATTTCTGGGAATTGTCTTTTTATGACAAAATCCTTCTGAACACTAGAGTCTCTTCTATTAGCCCTACAGGCAATGGAGGCCTAATGGTCCTCCTGTGTCCAGACCTGAAATGTCTCAAGAGCAGAGCCTGAGAGGAGGAGAGGGAGTGGGGTGTGCTGCTGTGGGCTTGGGCTTGCTATGGGTTCCAGCCAGACTTACTCGCTCCAGGTATAATCACAGGACTTGACGAGGCTGCATGCAGGCTAGTGGTGTCCCCTAATGGCACAGAGAGAAAAAACAGCCCACTTTAATGGAAGATGCCATAAATTGTTTTCTGATTCAGTAATGCAATGCTGTCTCTAACTTTGACAACATTTCGGATGCTCTACCCACGTTCCTTAAAACCCCATCTTCAGAGACCGTGTCCATGACAGGAAATGTGGGTCTTCTTGAATGCGCTGACTCTCCTAATTAGAGAAGGGTCGAAAACAAATGTAAGAGCAGCTTTCCAAAGACAACTGAGCAGCAGTCTGTAGGACACTTCAGTGGGGCCTCTCAGCCCCTGTGGAACACAGGGCATGCGTGTTAGAGGAATAGCTTTTCCCATCTTTTTTGGCAGATCATTACTCCTGATTAAGTCCTAGATTTATGACTTTGATGTCAGCTTAATGCTCTCTAGCATACTTTAACAAAGGCTGGACTCGTTTGGTCATATTTGTAACTAAGAAGGCTTGTGTGTGTTCTACAAGTGGGACTTCCCCTGTGGTTATCCACTGTGAGTCACCCTGTAAGCCCAGAGGAGCAAAGTGTCTGTTAGTACGCTAATGAGCTGCGTGTGAGCGCCTGGTAAAATGCACGGTGGCAGAGTGTAGTCTGCAGCCCCTCTGCATGGGTGGCTCATACCTGTGTTGTCTCTTCTGCTCCAAAGATCCAGTGTCTCTCATTCACGGCTGCTCTCAGTTTGTGTGTGTGTGTGTGTGTGTGTGTGTGTGTGTGTGTGTGTGTGGTGTACATTCTTATTTTTAAAAACATTAATATTAACATCTTTCTTACAAGTTTTACTAAATTAGCACACTTTGTTTGCATGCTGATGGCCTCAGTAGACTTGGTCTACTGACATTGACTAAAGATGGTTACATACAGGCACTGGAGGAGATCTAAGCTGGGGCCTTGAGTTCACAGGTGTATAGTTGGGAGTACGGCAGCTGCTCAACTGTTATACAAGGCAGGAAAAAAAAAAAAAAAAAAAAAAAAGACACGAGGAAAGCTTTGGCTAGGGCTCTGGGTAACTTGGAGGAAGGTGACCACACATCTCACGGGGGAAAATAGAAATAATGCCAAGGAGGCAGGCAAATTTTCAGTGAATCTTGGGTGAGTGTGTGTGTATGGAAGTGCCAACAAACTTAGGAAGAACAACCTGGCTCAGGTGGAGAAAGGATCAAGTTCTCCGGATGCTGCAGCTGTGGAAGGCAGAGGGAGCAGAAACCAGCTGTTCTGGTGCTGGTGAAGGGGCAGAGGCTCTCCAGAATGTTCCTTCTCTGCCAGCATGTAGGTTATCCTTTTAGTTCTCTGTCTTGAACTGATTGCCGAATTCTCATAGGGATTGTTTATTTCCATGTTGAATATGTAAACCAGTCCCAAAGGAAGGAAAACCCAGAGACGAGGCTGAGAACTGAGCACAGGGGTTCTGGATGCGTAGGATGAACCATGATGGCTGAAACCAGGAGGATGACTCAGTTACTATGGGAGGCAGGAAGGAGCGAAAGCAGGAAGGAAGGAGCAGGAGCAGCTAAAGGCTTGACATCCCCAGCAGCAGAGGGCGGAGCTGGGAATCAAAGATAACGCTGAAGGAAGTTACTTATTTATTTTTATTTTGTGTATGGGTGTTGTGCCTGTATGTATGTCATCGCATCACGTATATGCGTTGCTATGGAGGTCAGCACAGATCATGAGCTCCTCTAGAACTGTTATGAGCTGCTGGGAAACCCAGGTCTCTGCAAGAGCAATAAGAAGGTCTCACTGCTGAGCTGACACCTGTCCCCCTCCCCCCAGACACCAAGGAATTTACACAGTGGTGTGCTGTAGACATAAACATGGAACCTCATCTTGGTTTTAGTTTGTTTGTTTGCTTTTTTAAACGGGGCCTCACTATTGACTAGAGTCATGTTAAACTCACTATGTTCCCCAGATTGACTTCCAAGTTTTAGCCAACCCTTTTCATCCTGTGTGCTAGGATTCTAGGTGTGAGACACCACACCCATGGCGAGCTTGACTTTCGAAGGTGGAGGATTTTACATTTGTTTTAAGGCATCAGTGTTGGTCAGACAACTCTATCACAGGGGTCACCTAAGACCATAAGAAAACACAGATATTTACATTGTAATTTGTAACGGTAGTAAAATTACAGTTATGAAATATCAATAAAAATAACTTTACGGTTGGGGTCACCACAGCATGAGGAACTGTACTAAAGGGTCCCAGCATTGGGAATCAGCACTGAGAGCCATTGCAGGAGATAAAGATTTGAAAGTGTGTTGTCTCATACGCCTGTAATGCCAGGCTGAGGCAGAATTGTGTGAAGCCAGCCTGGTAGGTCAAGCTGGGATACATAAAAAAAACTAGGGGTCTGGGGAGTCGTGTGAAGAAGTGAACTTGAAATCCAAAAAATAGCTACCACTAAAAGAAAGGAGAGGACAAGGGTCAAGAACCCCCCGCCCGGCCATCCTTGTGGGGTGTGAGGCCTCTGAAGGTGTGAGGCAGTAGTGGCAGGAGAGCTGAAGGACCTCTCAACACTGGGAAGACGGCATCGAGAGACCCCTGCTGCATGCCTGCTCTCCATAGAGCCGTGGAACTGGGAGATGTGCCAAGACAGAGCTCTGGTGACTTAGTGCCACAGTCAGAGGCCCTGGAGCAAGAACATGGGGAGGAGAGGGAGTGAAGCCAATCACGATTCTTGGTGGAGAAGGAAGGAGAGGGGAAAAACGTGGGAGCAGCAGGAATCTTCATAGGTCAGCCATGGAGGACTGGATGGAGAGGAGAGGGCGAGCATAGCTTGTGCCCGGGAGGGGCAGGGGAGTGGGAGGCATGGAATGGACTGTTCTGGAGGCTGGCAGAGAGGAGCCAGACTGTGACAGAAGGGGTTGCCATGAAAGGGCCTGTGTTTTCTCAGCAAGGTGGGAAGCAAGGGGTCAAAGGGATGGGCATAGGTAGAGTTCAAAGACACCAGCTAAAGATGGATGCCAAGAGCAGTGGGGACAGAGTGGGCACAGCTAAGTCCTGGTGTGCAGAGCCGCAGGAATCAGGGAAATGGGCACAGCAAGGCTGCGAGTATCAGGTTTGGGAATCGTCTGAAACTTCTGATTCTAATTCCAGGAGCAGCAGGGAGTCAGGTGGGGGATGAAAACCAAAGGGTGTGTGTGTGTGTGTGTGTGTGTGTGTGTGTGAGAGAGAGAGAGAGAGAGAGAGAGAGAGAGAGAGAGAGAGAGAGAGAGGAGGGGGGACAAGAAAGACTTGCTTTTGGATCACTTCCGTGTCCTCCACTCTTGGTGACCCTTCTTTAATGCCTCTAAACCCAGCCTCACTCTTTCTGATTTAGAAGGCCTGTCTGCAGTAGTCTAGATGGTGTGATCTACAGTTCCTGGCGTGGCCTTGAGCATTTTCCACGCCTTATCTTATTTTCTGCTCTTGATAACCTCTCGAGTTAAAAAACAATAAGCATCAGTGTTCCTTTTAAAAGATGAATCAAGAGAGCCTGGATGGCTTGCTCATGCTCAGACATCTAGTGCCAAAGTGCAGACAGGCTGACTGGGGGGCCTTGACTGTGCCTAATTAACTGCCTCTGCCCAAACCTGCCAGGTACCATACGGGAATCGTCTCTAAAAATCACTCACATTGTTTGTATAGTAGCAAAAATAGCACGTCTTCATAGTTTGTAAGTCATGTTCCCTCCCTTCCTATTCCCCCTTCCTCTTCCATCTCTCTCTCCCCTTCCTTCCACCCTCCCTCCTGGAGCCTTGCACACCAGGACTTCTGTGGCTGAGCTATGTTCCCATGTTCTAATATGTGTCCTGCTATGCCCTTCACATGCTCCCCCAGCCTCACCACGCCTTTTAGCCATGCACCTTCTCTCTCACAGCAAGTGAGCATAAAGGAGCACGTGTTCTTTCATTTGATTGTCACATCATCCTTGTGGGGTGTGTAGCCATGTGCAGGACAGAGGAGGACACTGTCGACTCTTTGACTGCTGTCTTTAATCCTGGATGCTGTAAAGTTTAATCATTCCAGAAGGGCCTGGCACAAAACCTGTGATGTTTTTGCTGTTAATTATGCTAGACTCCTTTTGTAAAAGGAGTTCTCTCCATAGGCCTTCTGCTTCCATCCAGGTCATAGAACTCTGTATGTTGGGGTTCGGATGCCACTGGGCAGGCAGAGCCATCGACACCACCGCACTCATGGCCAGAAGCACCGGAGACGAGGAGGGCGGGGCAAAGGAGCCAGCCAGGGTGAAGAGGGCCTGGAAGCCTTGGCCCATGGTAAGACCCTGGGGAGGGAGGGTTAACGCCCTGGGGAGAGACTGGGGTAGAGCCTTGGGGAGAGGGCCAGTGTCCATAGTAGGGTGGTGAGTTCATTCATGGAAATGCAGGAGGCATAGATAGGCCTTGGCTAGGGTTCCCAAGAGGAAGGAATGCTTCTAAGAACTAACAATGTCTTCCTGAAATTGGCATTTCAACACCTCAATCAACACTATAAGTAATCCTTTGCTATTTAAAAAAAATTCAGATCTTTAGAAAACTAAAAACGCCATTTTTATGTGTTTGGGTGTTTTGCCTGCATGTATGTTTGTATGCCACATGCTCGCCTGGTACCCTTGCAGGCCAGAAGGGGGGGTCAGAAGGGTACTGGAGTTAGACAGTTGTGAGCTGCCACGTGGGTGCTGGGAACTGAACCCAGGTCCCCCCAGAAGCGCAGCCAGTGCTCTCAACTGCTGAGCCCTCTTTCCAGCCCTGCTTTCTAGGTTCTCACGAGACTTCTGAAAGTGGTCTGTCCTCTTGTTCAAATGCTTCCACAGAATAGCCTTTTCTATAAGAACAAAGGGACTTTTAAAATCTGTATTCAGGACATCTATATATTCCCAAAGCTGTTAGGCAGAAGCTATTTTTGTTCTGAGTCGGAGACTAGATACACACCCAGACCTTTCTCTGGTTGGTTTCCTAGACACCCCATCTCAGCGTGTTCAGTTCATTCTTGGCACTGAGGAAGATGAAGAGCATGTGCCTCATGAGCTGTTCACAGAGCTGGATGAGATCTGTCTGAGAGAGGGAGAGGATGCTGAGTGGAAGGAGACAGCCAGGTGAGGCCCTCAAAGAACCCTGGTCAGGAGCTCTGGGGACAGGCAGAGGTCTACCTCTCAGCAGGTGGCAGGCCTGCTTGCCTTTTGTCTCTTCGTGGGTGAAGTGGTGACCAGGAAGCCTGGCTCCAGCTTACATTGGTGTGGTGTTGGTGTATGCACTACACTGGACGTTTCCAGTGGGCCAGCTGGAAAGTGAAAAGGTAGCTAGCTAGTCTTTTGTGTCTCTGTCCACACCTTGTGGATTTCTAAAGTCATACAAAGCACTGATAAAAATGTGACTGTCTTATTAATGTGGTTTGTCAATATGTCCAAATGATACAGATTAGATTTTTAAAAGTCATGGTTATTATAAACAATTAAAAAGAAAGATAAGCCAAGGGGAGGAACTGACAGTACCCTTCTATCCTGCTGTCCCAAGGATAAAACAAGGAATGTTTTGAGGCCATGTACCTACATGTGCTTGTAATAGTAGATTTATCTTTGAATAAAAATGGGATTGGTGGCACATGCCTTTAATCCCAGCACTCAGTAGGCAGAGGCAGATGGATCTCTGTGAGTTCACAGCCAGCCTGGTCTACAGAGCAAGTTCCAGGATAGCTAGGCTGTTACACAGAGAAACCAAAATAAATAAATACATAAATGAATAAAATAAAAATAAAAGTGTGTGGGGGTAAGATTTGCACTGTGCCACAACTTGCTTTGCCCAGTTCTTCCGTGTGTGGACATTAGGCCAGGTGGTGCAGTCTTCTCTCCAGCCACTCAGATATTTTTCCCTCTTGATAAACCCATCTTCTAGCAGTGGCATCTCATTGGCTATGTTTGCAGGTGGCTGAAGTTTGAAGAGGATGTTGAAGATGGGGGAGAACGCTGGAGCAAGCCTTATGTGGCAACTCTTTCTTTGCACAGTCTGTTTGAGCTAAGGAGCTGCCTCATCAACGGCACCGTCCTTCTGGACATGCGTGCAAGTAGCATAGAAGAAATTTCAGGTAAGGCTAAATGACGGGCAGAGACACAGTACAAATTCAAAAGGATGAAAGGCAAGCATTCTGGTACACTGTACAGTGATTCTTAAGCAAAACAGAACAGAACGATGAAGCCAGAAAGAAAGAAAACTAAAGGGCTGTTGATATGGCTCATTTGCTGCACAAGCTGGGCAAGCTGAGTTCTGCCCCAGGAACCCATGATGGGAGAACTGACTTATGAGAGTTGCCCTCTGTCCTCCATGAGCACACCATGGCGCCTACCTTCGTCACACACATGTGCACACTAATAATTGCAACAATAACAATAATAACTTTAAAAAGAAAACTAAAGATGTAGACATGTAAAATAGTAATCTAGAACAGATATGCAGGAAAGTGAACCATAGCATTCCCACACTTGAACATGGCATGCAGGGTAGACCTGCTGGTGGATGGACATTAAGATACTATGTTTGGGGAGCAACATCGGAGAATACCTGGCTGCTTGTGGAACATTTCCCCTTAGATTGACTCTGTTCTATTGGACAGGTTAAAGATTCTCTATTCCAAGTGTCTAAGTAATTATGCCTCTCTAAGGACCTTTGGGGGGACCCCGGGTGGAGGTCAGTACTGATGGACTCCTGTGTCAACTTCGGAAGGTGGTACCCAGATGTACCACCAACTATGGGGAAAATAAATAAAAAAAAAAAGTGAGTTCAATGTCAGGGTCATGTTCACTGTTCTAGAGGCAGTGGAACCTAGGAGCATGGAACCCAAAGATGAACACCAGACAATTTATACAATGTCCACTCTGAGGGCAGTGCAGTGGGCAAGCTGCACAGGGCGGGCAAGCCACCCTTGGCACGTAGCAAAAACATGCTTTTCTGTGGAGGTTTATAAATAACAATAGCCAGTCAGTTGTGATGAATAATCTGGAGTAAACTTTCTCCTATCTGATACACCTGGAAGGGGCTCAAAAGCAAATTCCAAGAACAAGTCCTTGTTTTTGAAGAAACTGAGGTCACAAGACAAGACTCTTGTCTTGGTTTCTTGGAGTTTTCTCATAAGCACTCAGAAATCTCCTTAAACCTCCATCCTTGGACTGCATTTTGACTGGGACGCATCTGTGTCTCACTGACTTCTAGCTATGTGTCTAAATGCCCGTGAAGATTCCCAAGAAAGTTTGTGCCCTGTTATTTGGTGGAGGAACCCCAGGGATGATTATAATCATCAACCATGAGGAGACCCTGCAGACATCTTGGCATAGTAGTGCTCTATCAAATTAGCCGTAAGAAAGATGATGGAGGGGGAGTTAAAGGGGGAGTGAGCCAGGCCATTGGATTAGACCAGGTGGAATGATGCCTGCACTGCAGGTGAGGAAGAACCCCACTGTGTGTGTGTGTGTGTGTGCGTGTGTGCGTGTGTGCGCGCGCGCGCGTGCCTTCCTTGACCCCAGATTAGGCACAAACACATCCAAACATCTGTTTCCACAGAGAAATCCTTTATTAAACAGGAAAGAAAAGTTAAAGTGGCTGCTTTCTGACTCAGGCAGAAAATCAGCAGCAAATGGCCTTGCAGGTGTCAGTCTTAAAAAGAGGAAAAGGGAGGGCTGTGTCAGAATGGGCTAGGAAGCAGTGGTGAAGGAGACAGGGGATGAGGGGGAAGGGGAAGGGGACAAGGGAAAGGGTACGGGCATTTGTTCTGTAGGGGACAAAGGACTGCCTCTGGATAGGGAGAAGACAGACCCATAGGCAAATGGCGGTTTATGAAGGTGAAAGGGGAAACCCCATGTTGGATGAGGTGTTTGATTTTGACTGGACATGTTTATTAGGTGAGACAAAGGGGGCTTCTGATTGCTGCTCTTTAATGCTTTGATAGCCGGACCTTGGTAGTCAGCCTGAGGAATATAATCTAATTAGCACGGCAGAGGAGTGGAGGAGAAGGGCAAGGCCTAGCAGAGTTAAATGCTCCAGTGGGGTGGTGTCCCTTCAATGGGCAGTACAGCAAGGGAGGTAGAACTGATGGACATTTTGATGGACTGGTTTAGGGCAAAAAGGGGAGAGTGTTTAGCATTCTGGTTTATAGCTGGATGACTGGAAAATCAGGTCAGGTCTGCTGGTGGGAAAGAGGATGGGTTTCGTTTTGTGCTTGGTAAGTTCTAAGGTGTGGGGACATCCAGATGATGTTTGTAGGTGACTGGAGTTTTGATATTACTCTTGAGATAGATCTGAACAGGTGTAGTCTGGGCCATCGGTTCATGGGCATTTGGTGCTTACAGTCTCAAGGGTGGTTAAATATTGAGGTTAGAAATGGGGGTTGGACTCTGCTGCCTAAGGCTGGCTCAGGGGCAGTGTCACCCTTGGAGACAGAGGCTCAGAGTGCTTAGCCTGATGAGAGGACAACCAGGTAACAGTCACCAGGCTGGTGTTTGCCCACTAGGACTGCTGTGACACATTTCCACAGGTGGTGGCTCATGTCTGTAATCCTAGCACTTAAAGATTAAGGAAAGTAGATCAAGACCAGCCTGGACTTGTAGTAAAATATCATCTCAAAATAAAACCAATCAAACAATAAGTTTGGGAGCCAGAAATGTGAAATGAATTATAGGTAAGGCTGTTCCCGAAGGCCCATACCTGAAACGATTTTCCATGGTCCTTCGGCTCCCAGCTCGGAGCTGCAGGTGGTTCTTGAATTATATTTTTTTTCTTTTGAGAATTTTTATATAATTTTTAAAATTTAAATCTGAAACAAGCTTGTTTTACATATCTGTCCCTGTTCCCACACTCCCCTGTACCCCCCACCAACCCCCACCCCATCCCCCTTTTGCTCCAGGGACAGGGAAGGTGAGGCCTTCCATGAGGAGTCTTTAAAGTCTGTCATATCATTTGAAGCAGGGCCCAGGCCCTCCCCATGGGTCTAGGCTGTTCTTTTGAGAATTTTTAGTGGAAAGAGAAAAGTTAAAAACAGAAGAGGGACCTTCTTTTTTTTTTTTTTTTTTTTTTCCCTTCAGGATGAAGAATTCTAAAGCATGAGTATAATATGAGGGGAAAATAAAAGTTACATATGCAGGAACCTGGTCTCTGTTGTTCACCCCGAAATCCCAGCATTTAGGAAGTACAGGCAGGAGGACCAGCTGCTCAAAGCTAGCTTCTGTGGCGCTCAGTAACAACCTTCTGGTGGGTGTGGAGACTTTGGCGCTGTGCCTCTCTGTAGATGAGGAGAATGAGTAGAGAGAGGTCATGTAATTGCAAGATCAGATGGGTCAGAAATAATGGAACTAGGAATAAAGTGTAGGACCTGAAGCTCTCGACATTCATCTGGAGTCCTGATGACAGAACCAATAAGTAGCTCCCCCCCTTCCATGATTGGGCTTGATAGTTTAAATGCTGGTAATTGTCTCCAGTGGGCAGTTAATTAATTTATATAATATGTTTTTAAACTTACTTCATTTTGTATTAGTGTGTTTTGCTTGCATGCATGTTCTCTGGAAGAGCAATCCATGCAATTAAACCACTGAGCCATCTCTCCAGCCCCAGTTCAATATTTCTTTTAGCCTCCACTTTCAGGGTAGTTGCAACATCCCTGACAGTTACAGCAGTGTAAGTTCTTGGAGGAAGGGATAATAGATTTAAGAGGGTAATTGTGGGCTTTTGATTCAGCCAGTCCTGCATATGAACCCTTGCTCTTCAGCTTAGCAGATGGGAGAGTATGGGGATTTTTGTAACAATTGTCCCTTGGTTTCCTTATTTGAAAAAGCACACTAACTCAGAGTTAAGAGCATTTGGGGCTTTTCCAGAGGACTCAGGTTTGGTTCCCAGAACCACATTGTGTGGCTCATGGCCACTTGTAACCCCAGCTCTAGGGGATCTGATATCCTCTTCCAGTCTCCATGGGTACCTGCATACATGTGGCACATGAACACAGAACTAAAGATAAAAATAAATACATTTTAAAATAGAATTTAAAAAATGAATTGTCATAAAAAATACCCACTTTTGTGGTTCTAGTGAGGATTGGATAGATAACAGCTGTAAAGCACATGGTATAGTTCTGAGTATATATTAAACAGATGTGCAGCTCATGGCATAGTCCTGGGTTGTATTAAACAGATGTGCAGCTCATGGTATAGTCTGCTTATGTATTAAATACTCAATAGGCTTTGTTCCCTAAAGCAATGATTGGAGCTAAGCACAATGACATGTGTCACCATGTAAGTAATACCTTAAAATGTTTTAATTATTTTATTTTATATGTATGAGTGCTTTGATTGCATGTATGTATGAACACCACATACCCAGTGCCCTTGGGGGCTGTGCAAGGATGTTGGGTCTCCTAGAACTAGAATTATAGATGGTTAGGAGCCACCATGTAGGTACTGGGAATCGAACCCAGGTTCTCTGTAAGAGCAGCCAGTATTCTTAACCACGGGGCCATTTCTCCAGCTCCTGTAAGGCCCACTTTTGCAGAAGGGTCACATTAGCCCAGGAATTCATGACCAACCTACATAGCATAGTGACACCCCATCTCTAAATGATGTGTTCTCATTGTTAAATAAACAAAGGATGGTGTTTCACAGCTATAGGAACCAGAAGCAGAAATCAGCTTGGTGACCCTAGTAGGGCAGCTTGCCTCTGCCTTTTGTCCCCTCCTGATACCATTCCCCTTGGGCTCCTGAACTCTGAGAATTTTTGTGAATGTCTGCTTTCTAGACCTGATACTAGACCAGCAAGAGCTGTTCAGTGACCTGAATGACAGTATGAGGGTTAAGGTTCGAGAAGCCCTTCTCAAGAAACACCACCATCAGAATGAGAGGCGGAGAAACAACCTCATCCCCATTGTCCGCTCCTTTGCTGAGGTTGGCAAGAAGCAATCCGAACCACATTCCATGGATAAAGATGGTAAGGACTTGTGCGTCTCTGTTGTTTCTCTTTATTAAAAACACATCTGGGGACTAGGTAGAGAACCGGAATTACTAGGGGTAGAGGCTATGACCCTGAACTCTTCCATAGGTGGATGGGTAGTAAGCCGGGTGGCTTGGAAACAACACCTGTCTCTCACTTGTGCTACTGGAAAGCATTCCAAGTAGATCTTCAAAGTGAGGGATGTATTCTCCACATGCTCTCAGAGAGGGTGTGGCTCTGGGGAGAATGCCCACATTAGTGACAGTCTGGGTGCAGAGAAGGTGAGCTTCGGTCCTTTCCAGCTAAACAGAAGTCTTTGCTTAGACAGCACCTGGAGAGTATAAGGCCCTGGACAATCTCACACCTCACTTAAACAATGACAGTGACAGGACCTTCCTACCGTTTATTACAGGATTTCTGAGAGTTAACTATGTCCAAATCCTGTGTCCAGGCCAGGTGGGCTGCAAAGCCTTGCAGCTCTAATTGCTTCTCTTGTTGTGGTTGGGCATGGTCTCTTCTGTATTATCTCTTCTTTGCTAGCAAACAAACTCTGTAGAGGTCTCATTCACTGGGGTCAGGGGTCACTGCTCCAGAGAGAGAGGAAGAGAGGAAGGTAAATGAGGATCAGGACCTCTGCCTTCCTCTTACCACTGACTGTGGAGACAGAGTGACCCTGCTTCATAGTACTGTCAGCCTCTAGAAGTCACAAGCTGGCTGTGTCAGGGGAAGGGCAAGCCCTTAGCCCATTCTGTTTGACTTTCTCCAAATAGGTCAGACTGTTTCTCCTCAGTCTGCTCCAACTACGAATCTTGAGGTGAAAAATGGAGTGAATTGTGAACACAGTCCTGTGGATCTAAGCAAGGTGAGGGAGACATGGCAAGTTGGCTTCTTGGCCTAAGATTATCTGTAATGAAGCCCAGTGTATTTTGGACTCTTTCTGGGATCTGATAAGCTCCGATGTGTCATCCTTTACCTAAGACCAGCGCTGTTTCTGTGGAAAGGGATGCCCATCTTAGTTTTCTCTGTTCGCACACCCAGCCCGGGTGAGGCTGGCTCCTCAGTGTGTCCTTCCAGACTCAGCATAGTGAGGACAGACTACTACTGAGGCTTCCCTGACCTAGGTCCCCCAATTCATTAGTTACTTCTTGCTATCTGACGCCCTGTAGTTCCTTTTCATCTTCAAGTAGTCACACAGTATTTTGCAGCTGCCTCCTAAGACTCACATGTCTCGGACTCTTCATGGAGGCTGTGGCTGCTGTATTTCATGAAGCAACTGGGTATTAGAAAAGAGAAATAATGTGACCCAGAACTTCTGGGGCACCTCCTCTCTGAGGAGCATGTGGGATGGGATTCAGTTCTTGGATTTAAACTTCGATTCTTGAGGTGGCTCAGTGGATTAAGGTTTTGTTGCCTAACAGTCTGAATTCCATCTGGAAACCCACACAGTGCAAGGGGGGAACTGATTCTTGCAGGGTGTTCTTTGGCTCCATACATGGCTGCGGCATGCGTACACACACGTGCACACTGTACACAGCACACACACACACAGCACACACATAGCACACACATGCATGCACACACATACTAAATTATAATGTATATGTGACACAAATAACTATTCTAAGCTCCATAGTTCTAGTTAGCTTTCTCTCCCTGCATCGTAATCACTTTCTTCCCCCTTTGTTTTTAAATAGTGGGGCTGATATGATGTAAGATACCTCCATTCATGGTTTTGTAAAGGTCAAATAAAGCAGTGATAACCCTTTTCTAACTTTGAGTGGTATATGAAAGATAAGGTGTGAAGAGAGTGGAGTTGATGGCTCCTAAATTGTCAGAGGCTCTTGTGTACTTTCAGGTGGATCTTCATTTCATGAAAAAAATTCCCACTGGGGCAGAGGCCTCCAATGTTCTGGTTGGAGAGGTGGACACTCTGGACCGGCCCATTGTTGCCTTTGTGAGACTCTCCCCAGCTGTGCTCCTCTTAGGCCTGACCGAAGTGCCCATCCCAACAAGGTAACTGGAAGATAAAGCTCAGGGCATCCTCCCTGGAGCCAATGTGTGTGAATGCTGGCCTAGGGACTAGGTAGTACCAGAGGTTAGGGTTGGCTGTTTGGAGAGTATTTAAAATTCCTTGATGAGCTATGGAAGGGGGGTGGGTGGGGGACTTGGGGTGGGGGGATATGTGTGGGGATGTGAATTGTAACTTTTAAGGCTGTGACTGTGAAGTACTGTTGGCTTTGGAAAAGGAGCCCAGGGGACAGTGAAAGAGCACAGTGGGGACCAGTGACACTAGGAGAGCGTGGTACCCAGGGAACTGTCTCTAGGCAGAGCTGCTTGGCTATTTGTGTACCTGAGGTGGCGACACAGGGCCCCACTAATTATAGAGAGTGCTCAGATGTCCAGAACACAGTTGAGCTCCCTCCAGGGCCTGGGTCATTTTACTTCTTTTCCTTCTCTTCCCTATCATTTTCTTATTAGAACAATGAATGGGAATTAGATAACCTTGGATTTACACAACGATGCCGTGTTTTGAAAAGACATCCTTTCTATAGCTAGGAATTGTGTCTATGGCAACTCTAAGAAACCCAACCAGGCACATTATTGAATGATGTCTTATTAATAGCTTCGAATGCTGTTTGGTGATAGCAATGTAATGTTCTACTTGAAGGTAGTGACACTCTCTGTGTAGTCATGGGGAAGAGAGAGATTCTATATTTAGAGTGAATAAAATGTTACTTCTCTGTCTTTATTTATGTAACTCCTTCTTTTGTGTTTTGGCAGATTTTTGTTTATCTTATTGGGTCCAGTAGGAAAAGGTCAGCAGTACCATGAGATTGGCAGATCCATGGCCACCATCATGACGGATGAGGTACACACCTCTTCTGCCTTCCATTCACTCATCTCATAAATACTGAACAGTTAATTCTGTGGCAGAAACTGTGCATTGTTGGGGATAAAATAATGACTGTCATGGTGTCTTCTGGGAAGCATTCTGGGAACTTTTCTGAGAGCCAATCAAGAGAGAACCAAGCCCTCTTGAAGACTTTCCTTGCTTGACATCTCTTGTTTGTTTATTTATAGACAGGTTCTTAACATGTAGCCTAGTCTGGCCTTGCACGCAGTGCTGGGATTATAAGCTTGTATCACTATGGCTACTTAACTCTCCCTTTTTAAAGTAATCAAAGATGCAGAGAAATCATTTTCTGGGAGAGTTATTATTGCCAAGTAGAATGTGTAGACTCATATTTAATGTAACTCCTGAAGTCTGAGTTAACTTCCTGGAGAAAATGGTTAGTTAAATACGTTGAAGTTATTTGCATAAGGAAATACTCCCATTTGGTGGAAAGGAGAACTGTTTGCATGAGGTCAGTTTATGCCCTTAGGCAGTGTCAAGGGGAAAGTTCTGCCCAAACCACTGTTCTGGGCCTGGTGAGGGCTGCTGTACAGTGGGTTTCCAAGGCAGAGAAGCATGGGCTGAGTTTATGATCTCTCTTTGGCTGTTTCTCAAAAGACCTTCATTAGTAAGGCTGTCTAGTTTCTTTATGACTAACAGAGTTTCTGTGTGCCTTGCTCTTTCTCCTGGAGAGGTAATAGGATGACTTTAGAGTTGTGTCTTATCTCTTTGACAGGTCATCCTCGTGCTGTGGCCTTCAATGTGCTTGGCTTCCCAGGCATATAACACCTCCACACTCAGCTTTAGGCTCCTTTTAAAATCCATGTACTTCTCTAAGCACTAAGTTTTATGTCTTAGGTGTCCGTGCCAGGGATAGAAATCAAGAGGCTGTGTCCCCTTTCCCACTGTCCACTGGAGATTATTGTAAATAAAATCCTTTTGCGTTTTCCTAAGTTTTCTTTTCCTTCTGTAGATTTTTCATGATGTTGCATATAAGGCAAAGGAACGAGACGACCTTCTTGCAGGGATCGATGAGTTCCTGGACCAGGTGACAGTGCTCCCTCCAGGGGAATGGGATCCATCCATTAGAATTGAGCCACCCAAAAATGTCCCTTCCCAGGTAATGTATACATAGAAGCTGTTGGTTGCTGCTGTTCCTTCTACAGACAAGCAAAGTTATGTGTGTTTATGCTGAGTATTCTGAGACACATCCCTGTTTGGGAGCTCTTGAATGTCAGAGTAGGAATAAAAGATTAATCTACAATAACAAGTAGACTTAGATGTGATGAGATATCTCTGTTAACTAGGAATGGACTTGAAACCGACTTGGAAGGATTGATATAGAATGACAGAGGGGAGTGGGAAAATATTTCTTAGAAGTACATTATAAACAAAATAATCAAATGAAAAAAAAACAAATCACAGTATACTGAAAGAGCAGATAGGCTTCCAGATGGTTCTCTGACATGCTAAGGAAGGGAAGAGAGCGCCTTTGTGTACCAGATGAGGCCAGGCATTTTTATCTTGGTAAATTTGGCCTTCCCAGACCTTTCCCCACCCCCACCCCTGCCTGTACCTCTAGTTTACAGAATTAACTGATCTTCTAGGGTGAGATTTTAAAGGATACAGATTTGAAGCTGGGGTTTAGGTCATATCTTATTTTTGGAAAGTTCTAGTTAGAAAGATTCTGTTGGGGAAGTAGTTTTCTGTGTGTAAATACACACATCTCCTTCCCTCATGAAATCCAGTTGTATCAAATGAGCAATACACTTGGAAGCCATGAGCATTTGGACATTTTTCTGGCGTTTGGACTTAGGGGAAGACAGAAAGATGCTGACTTGACTCATTTTGTGGTCTTTTGTCAAAAGGAAAAAAGAAAAATGCCTGGAGTTCCAAATGGAAACATTTGCCATATAGAACCAGAGCCACATGGGGGACACAGTGGGCCAGAACTTGAACGGACTGGGCGGTAAGTTCTGAGACATTACTCATTGGCTGACACCATGTTAAGGAATGAGGCATCCTTGTTTGTGATTGACATTCAGATGGGGCCATCTACTGTACATATACAGATGTGACTAATATTGTATTCATTCATTCAGGTTTATAAAACCATCTATTATGTTCTGCCTGTCCTCCAGCTGCTTCTAGACTTTGTTTCCTCTGATGTGAACACAGCCCCTTCCCCTTGCTTGTTTCCTGATGTTCCCCACTTATCCTTTGTCTCCACTTAAATGATAATTCCTTTGGAAAGCCTTAACATTTTCTGTGGCTAAAATTAGGTACCACTACAGTATTGATCTTTAATTCCCCCTCTTACCTCACCATCATTACAGGTCATATCATACTTCATTATTATTCCTTGGATTTTTGTTTGTTTGTTTTGTTTTGTTTTTGTTGTTTTGGTGTGTGTGTGTGTGTGTGTGTGTGTGTGTGTGTGTGTGTGTGTGTGTTTCCTGCTAGACTGTTGACTCCAAAAAGTCAAATTCTGCACTGTATTCCTGGAACTCAACTCAGTGCCCCTCATCAGAGTAGACATACCCTGTCGAATGAATGAATGAATACTTTTAGTATGATACCTATGTGTGGAATGAAATGGACAAGGTATGAGTAAATGCTAAGTCATCATTTTAGAATGAGAAACTCCCTGAAGGTAGTAGGAGAGTAGGTGTTCTATTAGGTTTGTGTGTGTGTGTGTGTGTGTGTTTGTGTGTGCGTGTATCTGAAATCTACAATTTCCCACCAGTATTTTAAAGAGAGGTGTCCAAGGAAGAAGTCCTTTATGGTAGATGAAGGTAAGTAGTCCACAGACTGGGAAGTCCATTTCCCATGTAGGGAAGAGGTAAGAGGATGACATGCGGCATTGGTGGGGGAGAAGGCTGGGACTGGTTCTAAATGTATTATGTCTATAGAAGGTCCAGTGGGTTGAGGTGGGCTCATCATGGAGATAATTTTCATGTCATCTCCCTCTTTGCTTGTTCCTTTTCTTCTGGAAGATCAGGTGTTTTATTTAATTGTTTTAATATAGTGCATGATTTATTTTTTCTACTCTTGGAAATTCATGGAGAAGTCAGAAGGGGACAGAGGAATATGGGGTGGGATGGCCCTTAACTAACGCTGTCCTGACAGAGGAGTACATTTTTCTGTTTGCAAGGGTGTGTTTGAAGGTGGCCCTGTTCTGGGATAACATTGGCAGAAAGGAGAAGCCCTTGAATGGAGGTGGCTATTGCTAAAGGGAACAGCCTAAGAGTGAGTCAAACATTTTGTTTCAAGTTGAGAGAGGAGCATGGGAAACTGGTTTCTGGTGGCAATGAGGATGCTGGTTTCTGGTGGCAGTGAGGGGAGCATCTAGTGAGGGGAGCATCCACAAAGAGGCTCCAGGCCCCAGGGCTGAGGCTGTACTGGAGGAGGCTGGTTCTGATAACATTTCAGTTACAGTGTATCTTTTTGATGTATGACTATGTCTGTACCCAGGTGTAGTGGTTACAGTGTATCTTTTTGATGTATGACTATGTCTGTACCCAGGTGTAGTGGTTACAGTGTATCTTTTTGATGTATGACTATGTCTGTACCCAGGTGTAGTGGTTACAGTGTATCTTTTTGATGTATGACTATGTCTGTACCCAGGTGTAGTGGTTACAGTGTATCTTTTTGATGTATAACTATGGCTACCCAGCTGTAGTTGAAGCAGTTGGATTGAGGCAGCAGTTTTTCTCAGTCATCTGTGCAGAAGTAAGTTTCAGGCTTCCTCTGGTTCTGAGGAGAATAGAACATGAGAATCCATGCTGAGAGTCATTCCATGTGGGCCTTTGGGCCACCATTAGACTGGATTTCAACAGGTGCAGGATCTTGGAAAACACCAGTGGCAGGATTATCACACACTTAATCACAAGCCCAGCGATCTTAACTTACAAATACAAATAGGATTCTGAAGAGTTCTGCATGCTTCACACAGCAAGGACTTCTGGGTGTGACAATGCTAAGATAAAGCTGTGGCCTAAGTTTCCTGCCTCTGAGAAAAATCACACAGTTCCAGGCCAGCCCTGGCCCCTAGCCCACTTAAAATTATGTAAAAGGTGAATTTGAACTTTGGATTTGTTAAGTTTCTTGAGTTTTCTGGAATGCATAACCACAAAACATACATTTCTAAATCTTCACATCATTTGTTGTATAGTTTTGAATGTGGATATAGTTTCTTTATGCATACCGTGTCATAGAATTTTGAGGCCAAAAGCAGAGACTTTGGGACAGTTATCCATGTTGGGTGAAGAGGTATTTGGAGATCAGGTAGAGCGTACCCTGAGGAGCAGGAAGACAGTGAGACAGTGGAAAGCATTCCTCTGCGGTCTGTATTTTCTGACCCTGTGAGGCAGGGTTAAGACAGTGTCATGAGGCTTCCTCATGTGAACACAGGTGGAATAGCATGTGACAAAGCAGGAAGTGTGACTAGACACTTCCCCACAGCCCAGGAATCTCTGCAGCAGGGTCCTCTGGGAAGGGTTTTGGGGTAGATTTAAAATCCCTTACTTGGGGTACAAATTTTTGGGAAGGGTTAATGACAAAGGAGTCCAGAGCTGCTGTCTCGATGATCCCCCCACACTTCAAACAGGTCTCTTTCAAAGCTCACCAGACAAATGGATGGCTGGCCTGTCCCTAAAGCCCTCCAGGGAAGGGTTCCCTAAGTCAGTGTTCCAGAGCCTAGTGAGCCCTCTACACGGGTAAGTCTGTTCTTGCACCCAGCTTAAATTCTTATCTCTGTGTGCCTCCTGCCCCTGAACACTTAAACATCAAGGGCAATGTTGAAGGGAAAAGACGTTTCCATTATGAAGAGAAGCATCTGTATCTAGTTAATGTCTGTTTTCTTGTCTGGTTTTATGCACGAATGAGACATGGGGCTGACTCTAAAAGAAGTAATTGGAGTTGAGTGGTGGTGACACCTTTAATCCCAGCACTCTGGAGGCAGAGGCAGGTGGATCTCTGTGAGTTGGAAGCAACAGAGTGAGTTCCAGGACAGCCAGGGTTACATAATAGAGAGACCTTATCTCAAAAATAAAAGAAGTAATTAGAAATTATTCATAGTTTTTAGTCATGCCTTTAGTATGACCCTGGTGCCTGCCTCTCAAGCAGTGCTAGGCGGATGTCTTCTGTTTCATATAACTGTTATTTCCTCTGAGAAAGCCTCCCGTGCTAGAGACTGGCCATTGGGGTAGCATCTCAAGGAGCCTCAGTGGGGTGGGTGTAGGAGATTCTTCCTCTTCAGATGGACGTTGCTGGCGAAAGGTTATAGGCTCCTGGTGCAAGATACTTGTAGGGAGGACCCAGAAACACTTGAATAACAAACACCCCAGATTAATAGCTGCTGTAGCAAAGGTCCCTCAGGGCCTGTTGGTACAGAGAGAGCAAGACAAAATGGCACTCTGTTTTAAATCATGTCTTTGGTCCCAACCCCAAGGCTGACCTTTGGTGGTCTAGGCGCAATAGCACATTTGCCTGATTTGGTTTGCTGCATGTGCCAATGCTAATGCAGGTCTGGGTTGGCTTTCCTGTCTCCTCCAAAGACCACAGCCAGATGGTGATGTTACTGGTATAAATGGAGAGTTGGCACCACAGCCAGAGAAAAACAGTGAGTGGGCAGTTTCCATCCCGTGTCCCCTTCTTCACCCCCACCCCCACCTCATTCCAGTGCTGAGCAGAGCAGGTTGCCTGACTTCTCTCCTGAGTATAGGTTCCAACCTATACTCACGGTTCCCTAGGCTCTTAGGAGAAGAAGCAAGGGATAGCCATACTGCCCTCCAGTAGAGAAAATGGGTTTGTTGTAGTTTTCTTATTATAAAAAATTCCAAACTTAAAAAAGGCATTATATAATGGTCCCCCAGATACCTACCAGCTGTTACCAACATTTTACCAATTTTGTTTCATTTATTTCCTCTCACTTATCTTTATGTTTTCTAGATTATGTTAAACTAAATCATGGATGTCATTTTTTCCTGTAAATACTTCAGTATGTATCTCATTTAATAAGGACATTTACAAAAAACAATTATGCCAGTCTCAAGTCTAACAAGATTAACCAGCTTTCTTTAAATTAGCCAGTGCTCAGCCCATGTTCATTTTTCTGGAGATTCTTAACATCTTTCTGGAGTTTATTTGTTGATGTAGGATCCAATCAAAGTGCATTTGTCAGCACCCTCCCTAACCCCCCCCATCCATGTGAAGTCAGTGCTGTGTCTTCTAGCTTCCCTGTGGTGCTAAGGTTCCACTTAGGAAATGGCTGAGCGGGGGCCGGTGCTCCTCCTTGATGTGTATCTTGCTCTTCACTGACCTCCTCTTTGAGGGCCCTGAAGCTGCCATGGAGCCCTCCTCATTCTCCTTCTTGAGTAGACCTTGAGCCAACCACTTCTCCTTATCTCAGTCTACGCTCCCTTCTAGAATGCATGTTGGGTGCTACTGCTCCATGGTTTAAAATCCATCACTAACATAGATTGACACGAATTGACATGCCATTAGGATTAGGTTCCAATTCCTTAAAACCATTCACAGCCTCCATGACTCTGTTTCACCAGCCTTGTCTGTTAGTTTTTTGCCCTTATGCTGTTGATCTCTGCTAACACCTTGAATCCAACACATGTTCTCACCCTGGCGTGTCCCAATGCTGGCCCCTCTGCCTTATCTGACTGTCTCCCTGTCCTTCCTTTGAGTCCCTGCTGAGAGTCCCTCCCCAACCTGTGCTACTACAGCACCCACTATCATGCATTGCCTGCCTCCTGCACTAGACTGTCTGTCTTGGAGAGCAAGGGCTGTGTTTGTCTTGCTCAGTGCCTGGCCCCATGCCTGGCACTAATTGTATTAGACTTGTCAAGTGCGTGAGTCAGTCCTTATACAGAGACTGAGGCAGGGGGCAGCTCAGAGTGGAAATGTGCATGAGTAGAGCTTCATACCGTAACAACACTGGTAACCTGAGCTGCTTTTCACATTTCCTCTAACAGCTTAGAAATTGAAATGGAAGCTAATAGTTGCTTTCCTGTTAATTTTTTTGAATGTTGATAAGTGGGCAATATGCATACCTAAATTCACTTTTTAATGCTCGGTACATACTCAATTTTACCATATGTTATAATAGAACCTGTCTAGACCAAAGAGAAGTGCTTGGGGTGAAGTTGAAGCTGCAATATTCCTGAGCACGTTTGAAGTCCTTTCAGATGTGTTGTGCTCTGTGCCCTTGTGGAAGAGGGACTGTGTTCGAGGCCTGTCCGCCCTGTCTCTGCAGGCTGTTTGGGGGCTTGGTGCTGGACATCAAGCGGAAGGCTCCCTGGTACTGGAGTGACTACCGGGACGCACTCAGCTTCCAGTGTCTGGCCTCCTTTCTGTTCCTGTACTGTGCCTGCATGTCGCCTGTTATCACCTTTGGGGGACTGCTTGGAGAAGCCACTGAAGGACGTATAGTAAGGACTTTTCAGCATTTCTAATGGTCCAAAACAAGACTTAAACCATTATGGTGGCATCCAAGTTCTTTGGGGTCCTTACCTCCGCAGTGCTGCAGAGACTGGGTCCTGTGTCCTGAGTGACTGGGTTTGCTGACCTATGGGGAGCCCAGTTCTGCCCCCACTCATGTCCCTTCTGCTTGTATGACACTTTTAGTAGCTGGTTCTCTGAATCAGGGACTCTGTGTGATAGGACACTGTGTGAATGACATTGTGCTTTTATATTCCTTTGAATACCGAGCTGAGCTGAAGTATAAAACAGTTGAGTAATAGTGGCAGATGGTTTGGTACCTGAATTATTAAAGTGGCGTTTGTTTGCAAGGGCTTTAGGCACTGTGTTCTCCCTCACTCTTGCTTAGAAGAAACTCGAGCAAATGACTGTCCCGGCACAGAGCAGCTAGGTCAGTGTAGGTAAGGCAGCTCTACTCTGCAGATGGCTGTGGACTCTGATTTCTTTCTCCTCCTCAGAGTGCAATTGAATCCTTGTTTGGAGCATCCATGACGGGGATCGCCTACTCCTTGTTTGCCGGGCAGCCCCTCACCATCCTGGGGAGCACCGGCCCAGTACTCGTGTTTGAGAAGATCCTGTTCAAGTTCTGCAAGTAAGATGGCGTGGCTGCTGGGTGTGGCTGCCTCTGCCCAAGCCAAGCACCACCAGCCTCTGTGCAAGCACACTGGTGCAGACTCAAACCCAGGAGCGGGCGTGCTCCAGCTGTGTCCTCCCACAGCTCCTGTAGCTGCAGGCCACCTTCTCTCCAGAGTGAGCTTAGAGTCTCCTCACCATTGCTCAAAGTCTTTACATTGTTAGACTCTTAAATTTACCAGGTTTTGAGATTTATATTTACTTTATGTGTATGGGTGTTTTGCCTGCATGTATGTCTATGCACCATGTGTGTGCCATGCCCATGGAAATCAGAAGAGGGTGTTGGATCTTGTGGAACTGCAGTTGCAGGTGGTTGTGAGCTACCGCTTGGGAGCTGGGAATCAAACCCAAGTCCTCCAGAATTGCAGCCGGTGCTCTTGACCATACACAGTCCCTCCAGCTCTATTTATTTATTTTGAGCTAGCGTCTCTTTGTGTAGCCCAGGCTGGCCTTGCACTCACATTCCTCTTTTGTGGCCTCCTGAGTGCTAGATTGCAGGCTGCACCACCATGCCAGGTGGACTTTTTAGTTTTTAAGAAAAATATCTTTACTGACTCAGACTCCCTTCCTTTTATGTTTTAGGACAATTTTAAATTGGATCTACTGTCTTTTCTTCGTATTCTGTGAATGGTGTGGGGCCTAGCAGTGCTCTGGTTTCCATCCTATAAGACCCTTTTCTCACCTTGTGTTAGAAGTGGAAACACGCTGGACCAGAGCCGCCCCTGTCTTCTCATTGCACGGCCATGCTTGTAATCGCATTGGGTAGTAATGGCAGGAATACCGCAATGCAATGTTTTCTTCCTTCTCTGTTCTCTGGTCCTTTCCCACAAACAGCTGCAGTGAGGAAGACCTTGAGCATGTCGTCCCAAGCCTTTACTGAGGAGCATAGTCCATGCAGCCTTAGGGACAGAGGGTGGCAGTGCCGGTGTGACCAATCAGCCATGCATCCCTTTGTGGCTCAGTGTCGCCCTTCCATGTGTCTTCATGAGCTTCTGTGTTTTCCAGGGACTATGCCCTCTCATACCTCTCCCTGCGAGCCTGCATCGGGCTGTGGACTGCCTTCCTGTGTATTGTCCTTGTGGCCACTGACGCCAGTTCCCTGGTCTGCTATATCACTCGCTTCACTGAAGAAGCATTCGCCTCCCTGATTTGCATTATTTTTATCTATGAAGCAATAGAAAAGCTGATTCACCTGGCAGAGACCTACCCCATCCACATGCACAGCCAGCTGGACCACCTTAGCCTCTATTAGTAAGTATGCCTTCCCTGCCTTTCTTCTTCCTTTGTTTTTCACTTACAGAGTTTTAGGAACTTCTTTTTTTTTTTTTTTAAACCAAGGCATGGTAACCAAGTAAATTACACATTACACTGTTACATATTTGACAATGTAATACATGTACTTAAATACTTAATGTTTCTTCATGGTAACCAAGTAAATTACACTGTTACATATTTGACAATGTAATACATGTACTTAAATACTTAATGTTTCTTGGCCATGTTCATCCCAATTACTTTCCCGTATATTTCTCCATCCTACCACCTTCGCTTGATCCTTTCTGTGCAGCCAGTCCTCCTCCTTTCATGCCTTCATGTATGCACACATGTGTATGCACGTGTGTGTGAGAGAGAGAGACCCACTGAGTTTGATTGGGGTGTCTTACATGACCGTGGATGGTGAGGGTTATTTACGTGAACACAGACCTTTCCCCAATGGCTAGACCACTGGGGAAATCACTGCCCTTTTTTCTAGCAACCTGCCAGTTTGTTTGCCATAGTCTCCTTGTGGTTTGACACTGTGTTCCCAGCTAGCTGACCTGCAAGGTTCTAGATACTCTGTCTCCACTTTGGTCTTCATCCTGGGTGTGATGGATTGCAGCTGCACACAGCATTGCTAAGTGTCTCATCTAGAGATTTAAACTCAGTTTCTCATGCTTGTATAGCAAGGGGTTTGTCCACTCAGTGACTTTCCCAGCCATGCGATTGATTTTGTTTACTAAGTGTAGTTTTGAGGCTTCCTTCTGTTGATTTCTGAATTTTAATTCTGTTATAAAAGGCATGGCTTCTAAATGTACAGATGAAGCAAACGTGGTGAGAATGGTTGTCAGTTGACCACACTGATGCAAAGCATGCTGAGGTCGAGGGGCAGTATGGCAGCCTGCGGGACACCGTGTCTAACCTGGATGGATGAGAGAGGAGGGAGGAAGGGAAGCACTAGGGAAGCCAGGCCTAGCTCAGCTGGAGTAGTGGGAGATGCATCTCAGGACGTTCTAATGTTTAAATAGAAGCACCATGGCGGGCATGGGAATCAGGCATTGAGACTTGAAGGAAGTTGTTGAGAACCGAGTGGAGCATCAGGACCTCCTTGCTGTGGAGACTGACTCATAGCAAGAGCATAAAAGATAGAAACCAAACAAGGAACTTCCTGGGTTTATTCTGGGCATATCACATGCCAGGCATAGGTTGTCCGTACCGTTTTATCCAAGACCTACATACTGACTGAGTTGAACACATCTTTAGTCATGACTAGCTGAAAATTCAGAGTATGGTTGTGTTGGTAAGTTGTCTTCAACCCATAGGACCCATCTCCAAGGTCTGATGTCTAAGAGAAAGAAAGGAGGTAAGCTCTGACAGAGCCTTTGACCTGGTTATGACTAAGAACATTTTAAATTAGCTAGCTGTTTCCAGTTAGAGATGTTTTCCTTTTTCCCTAGCTGCAGGTGTACACTGCCGGAGAATCCAAACAACCATACTTTACAGTACTGGAAGGACCACAACATTGTGACTACAGAAGTGAACTGGGCGAACCTGACTGTCAGTGTAAGTCTGGGCATGGCTAGAGACCCTCTGTAGTGACCACCAGGTCTATGAAGGACTTCTAGATGGAGGTAGAGTAGTAGGACTTATAGATGCTGGAACCTGGCATTTACATTTAAGCCAGATGTCGTGGGCTCAGTCCTAGCCCTTGGGAACCTGAGGTAGGAACTTGATAGTTTCAGGTCATCAGGGCTGTGCTAAGAGACCCACCGTGGGTTACAAAGGGTCATTTTGATCATATAAGCAGTAACTGTGTGGGGTCCTGTTACTGATTAGTTCTGTTTCGTCGTATTGATATTCTTATAGATATCTTTGCCTTTTTCATGCTAAAATTGCTACATTTTGTTTATTTCTTGATTTCTATAATGTCCTTGGTAGAAACAATTAGCTGATACTCATTTATGCCAATAAACTCAAGAAACACCTTATTGTGTTTATTTTTGAAAACTACCTTGGAATTTGTATAAGTTTATAAGTTATATTGCAAAAACTGGTATACTTTTGTGATGGTGTATGCCCCTCCAGTTATGTGGGTTCTCCCTAAGATATTTAAGATGATTTTTATGCTCTGAACTGTTCGGTTCCCATCCATGTATGCTTATTTCTTATCAGAGTCTCTCCACAATGTTTAGAGAATTTGCCACTAATGGCAGTGATAGCTTTATTGCATTTAATGAATATTCTTTTTAAAAGAGCAAACATCAAAGCTTTATAAATCTAAATATTTATAAGCAGTTTCAAAGGTTCTCCCTAATAAAAATAATATCAACTTTAAGTTCTTCCCAGAGCCTCAGGAAAACTTCGTTCCAGGCGGGTCTGACTTCATGCCTGAGTGCATTGGTTAGGACCACCCGGTGTTCCTGACAGGGATCTGCTGGCGAGGGCCCTAGCTGCATAGTGGTCAAGCAGATGATGCTAGTGGCCTGTGCTGCCCAGCAAGCATGGGATGGCAGTGCATGGCGAACTCAGAAAGCAACAGTTGTTTGTTTCCATGTGCCTGCCTTCTGTAACCCAGAATTCCTGTTCCAGAAATGCCAGGAGATGCATGGAGAGTTCATGGGATCTGCATGTGGTCATCATGGACCCTATACTCCCGATGTGCTCTTTTGGTCCTGTATCCTCTTCTTCTCCACCTTCATCCTCTCAAGCACCTTAAAGACATTTAAGACGAGCCGCTATTTCCCGACCAGAGTAGGTAGCTTCTCATACATTATTTTGTGTTAGGGTTCTAACAACAGAACCAGTTCTCAGCCCCATGCTGCTGTAGAGATTGGCAGCATGGAGGGCCCCCGCTGTCCTGATGAGAGGCAGCACTGTGGCAGGCTTTTGTCGTGCTCAACAGCCTCTTTCAGAGCTCCAAGGTAGGAGTGAGGATGCTTACAGCCTTTTTGATTGAAAAGTGCCAGGCAGGCTGAAGGTGGTACTGATGTTCTCTAAGGTTACATCTCTGGTCCAGGACACCATTCAAGCTCATGTCTGGGACTCTGAGACACTGGGGATGTAAAGCTAGAGCAGGCTCGCTGGAGAGATTGGCTTGTGCGCTTTAAAGGACTCAAAGCCCCCCCCTCCCCCCATGCGTGGTTCCTGCCATGGATGAACTCCCTGGCTGCAGGAACCATCCTGTCCTTGACTTGGATTCCTTCCCTGATGAGCAGGGTCTCTGCCAGTTCAGGCAGAGCGGAATTAGAGGTCTGAGTTTGAGCAGCTGTGTGGGCCATGTCTTCTGTGAGGGCTCTCCTTTGGGCAAATCCACATGTCAGAATATGTGAATTTATAGATTAAGGGCTTGGTTGGTTACTTACTGTATACACATCCATGATTGAAACCCATTCTTAGGCCTTAGTGAGCCTGCAGAGTAGCCGAGGGAAGCAGCGTGTTAAATAAATCCACAACTGTTTCCTGTCTGGACAAATAGTTAACAAGTGGCTGTTAGATGCTGACCAGTTACTCAAACCTGGGTGAGTGCTGTGGCGGGGGGCACAAAGTAAACGGTATCTGCAGGGCCAGTGAGATGGATCAGTGGGTAAAGACCCTTGCTACCAAGCTTGATGACCTGAGTTCAATCCCTGGGACCCATATGATGGAGAGAACAATTTCTTTGGGTTGTCCTCTGTCTCCATGTGTGTCATAGTGTGTGCACACATACACAGAACAAGTAAATAAATTAATACTTTAAAAAAATAGCTCACAAGTGGTATCTTCTGGTGGATATGAAGGGAAAGTGCAGGGGAGAGTTGGTACCATCTGCCTGGGAAGTCAGTGCTATGGGAATTCAGAGGAAGAAGGATGATGCGGTCCCAGGGTGGTCATGATCATTTCATGGTGCAGGTGTGGGAATGAGTCTTCAGAGAATGCGCAGAGTGTCAGGGATGGACAAAACCACGGAGAATGTGCTGCAAATCTGAGGCATCAAAGCAGAGTGAAGTTAGCAGTGGTGCTGTGTGTGGCAGGGTGTCTTCCTCCTCTCTGTGAGGACCAGGGTGCTCTTGCCTGTCTTTCATTAAAGCTCATCTAAGCTCTGAACGGGGTGGGACAGGCCTTAGAATGGATGGGAATACATATGCGCGCGCGCACACACACACAGAGAAATACACATATACCACAAACATGCACATACACTACACATACACGTACACACATATTGCACATGCATGCATGTATACACACAACACACACACACACACACACACACACACACACACACACACGGGAAATTAGCACTATTGAAAAAGATGAAGCAGGAAAGAAGTACTGGGGGGAATGGAGAGTTTTTAGTAGGACCATGAGGGGTGTCAGCTGTGCTGAGGGGACTCTGTCCAACACAGCCACTAGCCTGAGGAGTTTCAGTGAAAGCCAGCCCTTGACTACACCACAGAAAAGAATTTCAGACAAGCCGGAGTGAACAAGCTTGGTGAGTTTACTTAAAGTACTTAGACAGGGTCATGTAGGGAAAGGACAGCACACACTGAGGACATGTCGATAGTCGTAAGAGCAGAGTGAGGATTAGGTGATTTTAGTGGCAGATATATGTGTTTAATGTACAGCAAGGTTTGAGGATTGAAGCTTAAAAATTATAGGTCTCTGGGAGGTGGTTTCATCAGTAAAGTGCAGTCTTGCAAGCATGAGACTGTGGTGGGAAAAAGCACGAACCCAGGTAAAAAGTTCCCGTGTCATGGTGATTCTAGCTGTAGGGAGGTGGAGACTGGTCCCTGGGCCGGCAGCCACTCTGGCCTAATTGGTGATCTCCATGTTCCCTATCTCAGAGGAGGTGATGGTGTTTCTAAAGGTGGTACCCAAGGGTGATCTCTAGTTCTCCACATACATGTGCACATATAAGCACATGTACCTAAACATGTGTGAGTTCATAAGCTAAACAACCATAAGCTGGTTTACATAAAAACTTTCTGAGGGTATTTTGTTTTGTATGGGTTTGTGAGACTGTGTCCTGAGGTGCGCTGTTTAGATTTAAGGCCCAGAGGGGAATGCTGACTCAGTGACACTGGGGGTCTCAGACATTCAGGCTCTGAGCAAGGACCCTCTTGTCTCCACATCTTCACATCTCTGCATGTGGGTCCAGAGTGGGCATCCCTGTTGCTTCCAGATTCCCTGTCTTTTTGCCTTGTCTCAAGAAAATCTCAGAAAGAAGGTTGAGTTTGAGTTAAGCTGCAGGAACTTGAGTTCCCAGAGGTCACCTGGCAGAAATGTGGTTAGGTAGGGAGGACGCTGAGGTGGAGTGAGCCGGGCTGGCTCCAGAAATAGCATGAAAGAATAATACTAAAGGAGGGCAAGGATGGAGCCTGTGTGGCTGGAGCTTCGTAAGCACGTGGGACAGCACTGGCGGCTCCGTGGACTTTACAGGGAGGAGAGGGCTTTGGGTTTGAACTTGGTGGAACAAAGAGGCCTCTTAGGGTTTTTCTAGAAGGAGAAGATTCAACCTAGCTTTTAAGTTTTTACTCCAGAGCTATGTTCAAGAACAGTTGAGGGCAAAGGTGAAGCAGTTACCCCAGTGACTGTGGCTGAGTGTGGGCACAGCTCAGGTGACGAGTTGTGCTCAGGTTCTGGGCGTGTTCTGAATGTCGGCCTTGTGGATGGATTGGATCTAGGATGTGGGAGACTTGAAGGTGCAGCTGCTGAGATCTGGGCTAGCACAGATGACCTCAGCTGGACCCGGAATCTGAACCTGGGCCTGCTCCCCAAACTACTCTTTAGAGGCTGGTCTTGATTACATTAGACTTGGTCAGAGGTTTGTTGTTCCGTATTACACACATACTATGAGCATTTGAGTATGTTGTTCCATATTACACACACACTGTGGGCATTTGAGTATGTTGTTCCATATTACACACACACTGTGGGCATTTGAGTATGTTGTTCCATATTACACACACACTGTGGGCATTTTAAATATGTTGTTCCATATTACACACACACACTGTGGGCATCTGAGTATACTAAAAATAGTCTTGTTTAAATAGTTTTGTATTAGTTTAGCTGCAAAATGTCTTTCTGAGAAATGGTAGTTCTTCCAGGTGCTTCTGTCTTTGTTGTATTAACTGCTCTTATTTTTTTCTTGTTCCAGGTGCGCTCCATGGTGAGTGACTTTGCTGTCTTCCTCACCATCTTCACAATGGTGATCGTTGACTTTTTAATTGGAGTCCCATCACCAAAGCTTCAGGTCCCTAGTGTGTTCAAGGTAAGTGGGTCTTGGGAGCTGATCTAAAGTTGATCTCAGAGGTTCAATAAGCAAAATTTAATGTGTGTTATTATGAATACTGAAAAGTTTCTACACCTAGATAAGTCTCTCTGCCCATGCAGCAATCCAAATCAGGCCAAATCTAACTGAATTAGAAAAAGCCCACGTTTAATGAATACAGTACTCCGGGATGGCCTTCCAGCTCCCCCAGAGAGGAGATGGGAGAAACAAGAAAACCACAAGTCTATTTTCTAGGGGATAGTTTAAATACCCTGTGGGAGTGGTCTTGAGCATCTCCCAGGGGAGGGGTCATCATTTGGTGGGCTTTCTGAGATGCAGCAGGATTTGGAGAGAGATAGGGGAGGAGATTTGGGTGGAACTTCCTAACTAATACATGCTGTAGGTGAATAGAAAGTGCCCATTTACATAAGATGTGCTGGTGTGGAGGGTGGGCCCCAGGAGCATATTTGGGTGATGCCACCTTCACAGAGCTGCAGCCTTAAGGAACTAGGAAGGAGTAGAAATGACCTAAGACCTAAGAAGGTCTTGTTTGGAGTTCAGGGCTCCTGCTGAGCCATCAGAACATCTCTTCAACTGTATTTTGTGTTTGTTTATTTATAACCCATAGTAGTTTCAAAACTTACATGTGAACTAAAATAATGGTCAATCATTGGGATCAGAGATCTGTTTCAATGCAAGGGTTATAAGTAGATGAGACAAGAGGGCTGAGCTTAGGTAACTCCACAGACCCTCATTGCAATAGTGGAGAGGACAGAGCCTGGGTATACTCAGCTATTTCCAAAGACAACAAAATAGGAGGGGCTGAGGATGGCAGGAAGACAGACAGCAGTAGAGGCAACCCTTGATGCTCCATGGCACATGCCTTTAAACCCAGCACTAGGGAGGCGGAGCCAGGCAGATCTCTGTGAGTCTGAGGCCAGCCTGATATGCAGAGCAAGTTTCAGGCCAGATAGGGATCCTCTTTAGTTAGTGACTTTACCGTCTTCCTCACTATCCTCACAATGATTGTAAGGAGACACACTATATACATACATACGTACATACATACATACATACATACATACATACATACATACATACGGTTGTGAGCCACTATGTGGTTGCTGGGAATTTAACTCAGGATCTCTGGAAGAACAGCCAGTGCTCTTAACCTCTGAGCCCAGGAAGTCATTTTTTTTTTTTAACAACAGATTTAGTTACTAATATATTTACTTGGGCTGACATTGAGGTAAAGTTGCTTTCTCTGCACTTGGGGACTTGGGGAATAAATGGAAGACCATGTAGGATTAATGGATATTCCACAGGAAGCTGATTAGTGATGATTGACTGCTAGGGGGGATTTGGAAAAAAGGCCAGTGATTTCCTCAGGGGTTACTGTATTTCATGTTTTGGTTTGCTTTTCTAAGGTTTTCCATTCAAATGAGAACAAAAAGAAAAGTAGAATAATGATTCAGCTTGATTTATTTTGCCCTAATCTCCGAGTTAAGATACAAAAATCCAGCTTGTTTTATCTCTTAGCCAACACGGGATGATCGAGGGTGGTTTATCAACCCCATTGGGCCCAATCCCTGGTGGACTGTGCTAGCAGCAATTATCCCAGCTCTCCTGTGTACTATCTTGATATTCATGGACCAGCAGATCACCGCTGTCATCATTAACAGGAAGGAGCATAAACTCAAGGTAAACCAGAGGTTCCGGCCTGGAAGGGTTTTATTTTAGGATAAGCCTGGCTGTATCAGGAACTGAGCCGAATAAAGTCTCACAAGGGCTTGTCATTGCTTGCCCGTTAATAACAAAGGTTGGCTGGAGGTGAGGCTGGACTGGATGTGATACGATGTGGGAGGAGCTTGGACTCCATTACTCTCCTCTTAGACTGTAGAGGTGGGTGGTCAGAGGCCCTGCTAAATAGCTACATGTTCTGAATCAATACTATACAGCTTTCCTCCTAAGGTTTGTTCAGGGAGTGGGCCACTGTTTCCCAGAGGCAGGAATTCTCCCATTAGGTCTATTGTGAGGCTTTGAGATGAATCTTGAGTTTAGGATTACTCAGACTAGGGTTAGTTGTAACTCGTATATTAGTGAGATGCCACATGCCTTCAATCTCTATGGCAAAATCCAGATTTGGCAATGGGGATGGTATCCAGGAACTCAATGAAAATGCTGCTCTGTAGTATCTAGGACAGTCACGATGTGGCTTGCTTCTTGCTACTCTTCCAGGGAAGTGTTGAGTTTTGAATGTGAGAGATTCAAACAGAGGAAGCTGAGTTAATTGTATAAAGAACAGATATCAGCATGTGTATGGGACAAGCTAAACTTCCCCTTTTCTTCTGTGTTCCCTCCTAACTGGGAGGGTTGTGAGCATTCTCTGGACACTTTTCTCATTAGACTCCTAGCTTTTAGCCTGAAGCCTTTAGCTCACTGTCAGTGACTGTTTCCCCACAGAAAGGCTGCGGCTACCATCTGGACCTGCTGATGGTGGCCATCATGCTGGGTGTTTGCTCCATCATGGGCCTGCCTTGGTTTGTGGCTGCAACCGTCCTGTCCATCACACATGTGAATAGCCTCAAACTGGAGTCTGAGTGTTCTGCTCCGGGGGAACAGCCTAAGTTCTTGGGCATCCGAGAGCAGAGAGTTACGGGCCTTATGATCTTCGTGCTCATGGGCTGCTCGGTCTTCATGACGACTGTCTTAAAGGTAATCACTCATTACGCACCAAGCAGACATCGAGGGTCTTTGTACCAGGAACCCTGCTGGGAATGCAGTGGCTCTCATATAAACATGTACAGATCCCTGTGTTGGAAGAATTTATTCTTGTAGGCAAGACAGTTAAATGTGTTTAGGAAAACAAATGTGGTAATTATAAAGTGTGGTAAGTCATCTGATGGACCATTGTCTTGCAATTTGCTTTTCTTTGAATAGCTTCCTTCATGTTGGAGGTCCAACCCAGGGCATGCAAAGCTAGCACTGTGTTTTGAGCTATGTCCCCAGCCCTTCTTACTCCTGGGTTTTCGTTTTTGAGACCGGTCTTATATGGCCCTGGCTAGCTAAAACTCATTATATAGACTAGGCTGGCCTGGAACTTGTGGCAGCCCTACTGCCTCTGCCTTTTGATTGCTAGGGTCATAGATATTGTTCTAGTATGGGTTATTTTAGTTATAAACACAGTGACCAAAAGCAGCTTGGGGAGGAAAGGGCTTATTTCACCTTACATTTCCAGGTAACAGTCCATCATGAGGGAAGCTGAAGTAGAAATTGTGCAGGAGCGCTGTATACTCACTCATGCTCTAGCACATGCCCAGCTGCCTATCTTATACAACCCAGACCCACAGTGGGCTCCTACATTAATCATTAATGAAGACGCCTACTGCAGTTCTTCACTAAAATGTCCTCTTTCCAGGTGACTCTTAAGTTATGTCCAGTTGATAAAGAAGACTCTCAGGCACAGACACTATCCAACAGTACTGCAGGCTTGTGACCAGACTGGGGTGTCTAGTCACTCTCGAGTTGGGGCAACATAAAATCCAATGTGGACTTTGTAACTCTGAGAGGAGTTCTGTTCTCTAGCCACAGGATATAAGCAGGTTGGGGTACTAGGGTTATAGAACACTGTGTCGAGGTGCCAGGCTCTGGATTTGATCTTCAGCACCACCAGGCAGGGTGGTGACGTGATGGCAGGGTGGTGACATGGACAGCAGGTTGGTGATGTGAATGGCTGGGTGGTGACGTGGACCATGGGGTGGTGATGTGGACCTCAGGGTGGTGACGTGGATGGAGACAGGGAAATAGAAGTGTAAGGTCTTCCTTCTGTACACAGCAAGTTCAAGGCCAACTTTCTAAAGCTCAAAGACATGATGTGACAGGAAAGCTACATTCACGGGCTGTGCCCACCACTTAAAAAAAAAAAAAAAACCACACATAATATAAGCTGGCAGTGGTGGCACACACCTTTAATCCCAGCACTTGGGAGGCAGAGGCAGAGCCAGGCCAGTCTTCATGAGTTTGAAGACAGCCTGGTGTACAGAACAAGTGTGGGCAGAGGCTTCAAAGTTACAGAGAAACCCTGTCTCGAAAAACCACCACCACCAACAAAGAGCCCACAATATAACAGCATGTTCTCAACTAGTTTCTTCTCTGCTGCCCTCAAGTCTTAGGTCAGAAAAATGAATGCTTTAAAAATTTGTGTCAAAATACACTAAGTTCTAAGGAGGTAATGATGAATATAGAAGATTTAAATTATATCAGTGAAGTATGTGTGTGTGCACATGTGTGTACAGGACAAGTGTATGTGTGCATATGTATGCACGTGTGCACATGTGTGTGCACATGACCCCAAGTGTGTGCATGTATATATGTGTATGTGCACATGACCATGAGTGTGTGTGTGTGTGTGTGTCCGTCTGTGTATCTAGGGAGGAGGAAGGCTGGCAGAGGAGGGTGCTGGAAGAGCCATGAGGCCCGTGACTTACCAATGGGTGACAATTTTATTTCGAGATCATTCCCGGCTTATCCTTTTGTTTTCACTTTAACTGAAGGAGAGGTTTATTGAACAGTCTGTGGCTTGGTTCATATGACAGTACATGTTGACATGTACCTTTTAATCTCAGCACCACTCAGGAGGTAAGGATGGGCAGGTGTCCATGAGTTCAAGGCCAGCCTAGTCTACATATTGAGTTCCAAGCCAGCCGGCTCACAGTAAGACCCTGTCTCAAAGAGAGAGAGAGAGAGAGAGAGAGAGAGAGAGAGAGAGAGAGAGAGAGAGAGAGAGAGAGAGAGAGAGAGATGGACTTGAGCCCTGCTGGTACACCACTCTTCCTGTCTTGTGCCCTTGTCTGCAGTTCATCCCGATGCCGGTGCTCTACGGAGTTTTCCTCTACATGGGAGTCTCTTCTTTACAGGGAATCCAGGTACTGTGCGGTTCAGCTACACCATGTCTCTCACTCTGTGTTCACTTGTCCTGACCACAGAGGCACAATTCCCCAAGGGAGGCACAACCAGTTCCTGAGATACTACTTCCTGGGCTTGCTATTCGACCAAGAAATGTCTTTGGATATGGGGTACAAAGTATGGTCATGATGGTCTGAGAGCATTGACTTCCAAAATAACATGGCTTGATGTCATCGTTTTAGCTGTTCTCCCCTCCCACTCCCCAGAGACAGGGTTTCTTTGTGTAGCTTTGTAGACCAGGCAGGCTCTGCCTCCCAAGTTCTGGGACTAAAGGCGTGCACCACCACCACCCAGCTAGCTGTTCTAGCCATTCTTATTCAGTGGTTATTTGGCATTAAAATAGGAACACTTTGCCAAATTCCTATAGACATGGACCTGAAACAGTCAAGAACCAAAAAGACACCGCTGCGAGGTGACTCAGCAGGAAAGGTGATTGCCACCAAGCCTGATGATCTGAGTTCCATCCTTGGGACCTATGGTGGAAGAAGAGAACCAGTAGTCCTCTGACTACATCGTATGATGACGGTGGTGTGGTGTGGTGTGGGGGGCAGGTGGTATGTGTGGGCACATGTGCTACAGCATGTATGTTGTGGTCCAGGGGTAACTGTGGAGTTGTTTCTCTCCTTCCACATTTATATGGGTCCTGGGATTTGAACTCAGGCTGTCAGGCTTGTATGTACCAGCATTTCTCCCTAAGCCCTCTCACTGGCCTCAGAATACCGTAAGTCCTCTATCCAGAATTTGAAGAGGTCTCATTTGACCTTGTCAATAAGTAGCTTCAAATCTTTCAAAGAACAAGTGAGAGAGTTGAGAACTTAGGGATTTGGGAAGAGAGAATTTGTTCCTTGAAACTGTGTCTTATCCTGTAGCCCAGTTTGACTCAGAACCCACTGTGTAGCCCAGGCTGGCCTCAAACTCTTGACTGCCTCTTTGTCCCCATCTGTCTGTAGTTGTAGGTCCGTGTAACCACTCCTGGGTGGAATTGATTTTTATAGCTGGCATAAAGATGCAGTTGTTTGTGTTCACCCACCCTGGGAACACTCTTCAGCTGCAATGTAGGGAGGGGTTGGTGGGGGGAAGAAGTTTGCACAGGGAATTAGAAAATGTCTTGGCCACCACTTACTGACCTTGACTAAATTGCCTGTTGCCTTAGAGGCCCAGTTTCCATTTCTCTCGACAGAAGCTACACCGGCTGCTGTGCAGAGCAGGTGGTGTGGAGCCCCAAGCCCATCCGTAGCTCCACACCACCTGCTCTGCACAGCAGCCGGTGTGGCTGGATGGGCTTGGGGCTCCTTACCCAGGGGACCTCCGGGAGCCAGTGTATGTTCTCCATCCTCTAGTTCTTTGATCGTCTGAAGCTCTTTGGGATGCCTGCCAAACACCAGCCAGATTTCATCTACCTTCGGCACGTACCACTGCGCAAAGTGCACCTCTTCACCCTCATCCAGCTCACCTGCCTTGTCTTGCTGTGGGTTATCAAGGCATCACCGGCTGCCATTGTTTTCCCAATGATGGTAAGGGTGCTCCCTTCCCATCCCCAAGGTTTCTTTGTGTAACAGCTCTGGCTGTCCTGGAACTCGCTGGTAGACCAGGCTGGCCTTAAATTCACAGAGATCTGCCTGCCTCTGCCTCCCAGGTGCTGGGATTAAAGGCGTGCGCCACCACTGCCCAGTGTGTGTTTACTGTTTCTAAGAGTACTGCTCAGTGGAATCAAGAACATTGTTGAGGTTCCAGCATCACTATCTCTAGACCTTCATCTTGCAAAACAGGAACTCCAGACTCATTAAACTGCCACTCCTCATTCTCCCTTCCTGCAAACCCGTAGGCACCCATAGTTCTATTGTCCATCTCTGTGACTTCTGCTACCCTAGGTGATCATGTGACATTGGTTTATTTCCCTGTGTCCATGTTGCTTCATGAGCCAGAATTTCCTTATGTTTGAATAATGGATGCTCTGTTCATTTATGTTGTAGACTAAATGTCAGTTCCTGGGGAACTGATGCCCTCCCTGACCTCCAAGGGCACCAGGCAGTCACATAGTACACATGCATACATAAACATGTAGTACACATAAAAACATATATTTTAGAAATGTATAAAAATTTAAAATACATTATGTAAAAAAGCCTCAGGCTAGGTGCCCGCAGCCCACAGTGAGTGACTACTGCTGCGATCATCAGGGGTCCAGTTCTGCTCGAGATGGCCTAGACCACATGAAAGTCATTTTTTGCTTTGCTCAAGGCACGTTCCCCTTTACCTCCCTTCCTTCTTATCAGGTCCTGGCCTTGGTCTTCGTCAGGAAAGTCATGGATCTCTGCTTCTCCAAGCGTGAGCTGAGCTGGCTGGATGACCTCATGCCTGAAAGCAAAAAGAAGAAGCTAGATGACGCCAAGAAGAAGGCTAAGGAGGAGGAGGTAGAGTCTTGTTATGCTCCAGCCTTATATTTCAGGGCCTCGACTTCAGAAGGGGAAGAGGGAGGGAGGGCTGTGTGTGAAGGTGGCATGTCTGGGGTCTTGAGGGTTACACTGAGGGGCTGAAAGTTACCCCAAGTTGTCCTCAGCTGCAGAAGCCTTAAGGGGTCCTGGCCTTGTCTGCCCTTCATGTTTGGAGTTGGTAACTAGTCATTTCCCCCTTTGATTTGACCCAAGATCACACCGGAATATGAACATGCACTCTGCGAGTCTCAGATACAATGGCTCCTTTTCTTTCAGAAGATCTGATTTGACAAGTGTATAAAACCCATTATTTCTGAGAGTATTGGCTGTACACCTAATTACGGATGGTGCTGTGGTTGGCATCATGCAAACGCAGCTTGTGAGGGACTTTCTGTCCTTCATCGCCCTCAGCAGTTGGCACCTTGCAATCTACACAATGGACCATGAGCCATGGCCTGAATATGCACAGAAAGGATGTGTGGCAAGATGAAAATACCAAGCCAAGAAATGAAAGGCCTGGGAGTATTTCAGTGCAGTTACTGCCCCAAAGAGTGTCCTTCCAACTGTCTGTCTGTCTATCTATCCATATATACATACATACATACAAAGTGTTTTCCTGTTGCTAGCTCTGGCCTGGAGAGACCCTGTCACTCAATAGACACTGCCATCATTTTCAATTATATTTTAAAATAAAATTTTCTAATGTCTTGAATTCAAAAAAATCTTATATTGTTAAATAAACTAAATTTTTAAATACAAAAGCAATGACACAAACAGACAACCGTATTCCTCCTAGCTGTTGTGCCACCATCCCTGGCTGAGAATAGTTTTTTCACTTCTCAAATGACAACAAAGCTTAAATCTGTGAGAACTAATAACACTGTGGTTGGAATGGGCCGCACATACACTGAGCGTGCCAGTATGAACCGGAGACATCTCTTTAGAGAACAGCTTAAAGTCGAGTCTTACATTTACATATGCCAGGGCTGGAGAAATGGCTCATGGCATGTAGCACTGGCTGCTCTTCCAGAGGGCCCAGGTGTGGTTCCCAGCTTCCACATGGCAGCTCACTCCTCTGTAACTCCAGTTCTAGGGAACCCAACACCCCGTTCTGGGCTTGTTGGGTACCAGGCAACCACACGATGTAAATATGTACATGTAGGCAAAACACCCCCCCACACACACATGGCATACACACAATGGTGTGCATGTGCAAGTACACACACACACGAGCACATACACAAATGCATACGTGTATCCTTTTAAGTTAGGTGCTGTGGCATATACTTACATTCCCAGCACTTAGGAGGCTGAGGCAGGGGGACAGCTTAAATCCAGGAGTTCAGCCTGGTCAACACATGACCCTGAATCAGAAAGAAAAATGGTTATGCCTTTTGACCCAGGAACTCTAATTTTTGAAACATATCCTGAAGATATTCCAACAATATAGACAAAAATATTATACTCTTGTTTTTATAAAATAATCAGGCTAGCAAGATATATCTCTGCAGGGAAAGGTACCTGTTGCCAAGCCTGAGACCTGAGTTCAATCCTGGGGACCCACATGGTACAGAGAAGGACTGACCCCCCCAACTTTGTCCTCAGGGTCCCACATGCGCAGTGTCACATCCAGAACCTCCCACACACAAATAAATATATAAATGAAGGAATAAAAGTTATAAATAAGTATAATTATTAGCACAAAAAAGAAAATTAAAGTATAACTGAATATTATTCAATATAATATTAGTCATTGAATTGTTAAACTTTCTTTGTTAAAATGTTTAGTTCTTTTCAGTTTTATTGTTGCTACACTTTAAACATGTTTGTAGATGATTTTTTCCCTCTTTAATTATTCCCTTAAGGGAGTGGCATTATTTTTTAAGGAGTCGTCTATTTTTTTATTTTAGTAGTAAGATAGGATCTCACAATGTAACCCAGGATAGCCTCAAACTCTCAACCTTTTGTGTTGGTGTCAGTTTTAAGCAAATATTTCAATATGGAACATTTTGAGTATATCATAACAATAAGAAAACTCCTTCCCCAATTTCCCTATTATTGGTGTGTGTGTGTGTGTGTGTGTGCGTGTGCGTGTGCGCACACGCACGCACATATGGAGGTCAGAAGTTAACATTAGGTGTCTCGCTTGGTTGCTTCCCACCCTATTTTTAGAACTGTGGTCTCTGGCTCATGACTGGGGTAGGCAGCTGACAAACAAGCCAGCGGCCCTGCTGTCTTTGTCTGCCTGGTGCCAGAGTTAGGGATTGCTGCCATCCTTGGCTTTGCATGTGGGGCCTGGTAATCTGAACTCAGGTCCTCACGCTTGTGCTACAAGCACTTTACACCTCAGCCGTCTCCCCAGACTCCCTGTTACTATACTAACAGTTTGTTTCTTTGGATCAAGATATAACAAAGGACCATGCGTTGTAACTGGCTGGTTTCCACTTCGAATCACTTTAGGGTTCTCCTGTTTTCCTTTCTGTTTGGAAGTTGGGTCTTTGAGAGCAGGGCATTGTCTCTCTCACCAGGCAGTTCTTGCTAATTGTTGCCTTTGGCAAAATTGACATGTTCTTCTGTCCCCTGTGTTCTTAGCAATTGATCACTGGCAGTAGAACAGTGATTCTCAACTTTCCTAGTGTAGTGACCCTTTAATACAGTTCCTCATGTGGTGTTGGCCCTCAACCACAAAATTGTTTTTGTTGATAATTCATAACTATAATTTTGCTACTGTTTTGAATAATAATGTAAATATCTAATATGCAAGATATCTGTTATGCAACCCCCAAAACTGCTGCTGTAGAGGCTTATATTATATTATTGTTTTTCAATACCGTTCCACATGTACTATGATTTGATGCCTCACTCTTGTGAGAAGTCAAACCCATGGAAGGACCGCATTGCATGAATGTGAGGTTGTACTGCAGGCAAAAGAGAGAGAAAACATTCAGAGGCATCTGGAAGAGTGCAGAGCAGAGAGAAAAAGAAGCACCCCCGGCATGACCAGGGCTCCCTGCCAGAGAAGTAAGAGTGGCATGTGCTGGGGGCACACCCCGTTTCTCAGGTCCCTGAAGTGCTGGCTGAGGCTTTTGGCAATCCTATAGTCCAGCTCGAGCTGAGCCCAGACTCGTTTCTGGCCATATGCACGGCCTTTTGGAGTTTCAGGAGTAGGAGTTTCCTTTGGACCCGACAGTAATAAGGTCCCCTTTTCTTTCAGGAGGCTGAGAAGATGTTGGACATAGGGGGTGATAAGTTCCCTCTCGAAAGCAGGAAGTTGCTAAGTAGTCCTGGCAAAAATAGCAGCTTCAGGTAAGCCCACAAATGCCACAGAGCTTGCTGTGGGATTCCTGCCACACTGCTGCTGCTGCTCTGAGCAGCCGTGCAGTCGGCCCACCTTGAGAAAGTAGCTTTCCACTCCCCTGTGTTCTGAATACCTGCTGTGTGCCCTGCTCTGTAGGGCTGGGAGTTACAAGAAGAGAGGTGGGGAGCCAGTGTCCCCAGTGCCCTCTCCCATGTCAGGGTGCACAGGGGGCTTTGTTTGTGCCCCCATCAGCATTTATAACAGTCCTTAAGGTTCATCGGCTACTCTGTACACATGAGGAAACTGATTAGGGAACGTGCTGGGGTTACAGCACCAATACAAAGTCAGTGTCAGCATCCTGTAGCTGTTTTAGAGCGCCAGCCAACCACCTAGGACATCAGCAGCCTGCAGCCCTGCTCATAGCCACCTCCACTCTTAGGCCTCTTCTGGCTGCAGATGGAATGACCAGACTCCATCCTCAAGCCACTCTCCCTTCTCATGGGGCGGTGGTCAGGGTAAACTGGGGTGTGCCCTTCACTAATATGTTTGATATTCACTGCCTAAGCTTTGCTTTCAGATGTGACCCCTCTGAGATTAATATATCAGATGAAATGCCTAAGACCACAGTCTGGAAGGCTCTCAGTATAAATTCTGGAAACACAAAGGAAAAAAGGTAAAGAGAATTCGAACTTCTCATTTTTATTCACATCTGGCTTTTAAAATAGCATTAATGTTAAAGTTATTTAAAAAAAAAACTATTGCTAACTGTACAGTAAGACAAATAAAAATAAGGAGGTTCCAAATATTTGGAAGTATAGGCTGCTCTGAGCTGCCCATTTACTTTGGTTTCAAGGACAGGCTATAATTATTTTTGGAATGTAAATGTACTTTATCTGTTTAGTTTCTTTAATCCACTTGGAGAAAGTTTCTCATTTCAGAATCTAAAGCTTGTCTCTGTTTCTGCAACCACACAAACTGGAAAATTGCTAAAAGCCTAGATCAATACTGTTAACACTAATAATATGATGGTATTGGCTCACACTATAACCCATTTAACTTAGGTTCTGAAGTGAGGATTTTGCTACGCATAACAGTTTTCTTATTCTGCAAGGAAATTTCTCTATGTCATTTAATAATAGCATAGGTCAGTTTTAATCAGATTATTAAAGCAAATGGAAGGATTGGAGGCATTTTCACCTCAATAAGGATGCTATATATATAAGTTACGAATTTTAGCTCAAATACCCCTTACATTTAAGTCCTCAGACAGATGAAGGCAAAAATGTGAAGTCTTGATACAGATAACAGGTTTTATTAAAACAAACAAGCCAGGACTGTGAAAGCTGGTCCTGCTCCTACTTCTGGGCATAACTTGGCATTTTGCCTCTTCTGGCATTTGGCTCAGTGTTAAAATGAGGGTCCTAGTGAGGTGTCTCTGAGGGACAGCAGAAGTGCTTCTCAGAGCCACAGCTGCCGGTGCATGGTGCCGCAGTTTCTTCCCTGAATGTGTTGAATGCAAGTGAAACACAGAATCTTGCTTCTCTCAGAGGAAAATCCAGGCAGCTGTGGAAATGTATAACACATTTGGTTATTTTTAGTTGAGAACTAGTCTACTTGTAAATGAACTTAAAATACAGCCAGATCCTAGTTGTGGTGGCGTCTTCAAAGTATTGTGTTGAGAGCAGGCACGAGTCACGTGTCCCCTTTGCCTTGTTATCCAGCCTCTTCAATTGAGAGTCTGCTGAGGTGCAAGATTTGGGCCACGAGGGGCCTCAGAGAATCTCTGGTTTCAAGAAAATGGTGAGTCTCTCAGAGAAGAGCCAGGCTGAGTCTGACCCCGCCCTTGGTCATCTCAAAGCCATGCCACATGGAAGCATTCAGTCACTCTCGGTGTGCGTTTTGGAGGACATCCAGCTACCTTCATGCCAGCAGCCAGGTACCAGCAGGGCCACAGTCAGGACGACCTCCTGTTGCTCCCTCTCGTCTTCATTCTCTTCAGAACTGCCACCATTAAAGAGTCAGCTTCCCATTTTACAGACATTTTCTCTGATATTCTCTGCTGGCCTGGTAAGCCTCATGAGCCCATTCTGTCATTGAGGATTCCTTCATGAGGTCCCTCTTCGTGAACGATGGCTTGTGGTGGTAGCAGAGAAGCCAGACAAGGGAAAGCTCCGGGGCCCGTTGCTAGCTGCAGGCTCACGAGCAGCCTGGGCCTTGGTTCCATTTCTGTTTGGAAAGGGGTGCTGGTTAGACCAGACATTGTAGCAGGTCTGCTACCCAAGGTCGGCCATCTGAGTGTCAACGATGGCCACCACCAGAGCTGGCAAGATGCCACTGGCCTGGGGTCATCTGTATCACTCCCAGAAGCAGTCAACACAATGTTGGGAGACACTTGGAAGATGCAGGGTCAAGTGTGAGACAGGGAGTTTAGCTGATTAAAGGCAACAACGGAGGATGAACATCTTTTTTTGGGTTTCCTTGAGACTGTAGAAAGAGAAGGAGCCTGCTACAGGAAGAATTGATTTAGTGACCAGGGAAGACTCCCTAGCCTGGGGATTTGTTAGCAGGTCTGTTTTGTCACTGGGAAAGCATGGGTAGAAAGGCAGATCAATATTGACTGTTTGTGGGACTGTTAGACATTCTGCTGCTGTCTCTTGAGGCTATATTGTTACTTTACCTTGAGATGCAAGTGCTCATGGACATCTCCTTAGTTGCCTTGGTAGCCAACACCACCATCATCACTCAATGGACCAGAACTGCCTTCAGCCACATGGCTTCCTCATCACATAGATTTCTTTTAATTGACAGAAGTTCTGGCTCTCAGATGTAAAAAGCCATGCTAAGAAATGAGCTATAAGTGGTGAAGTCAGCGTGGACACTTAATTTAAAAGTACGTGTATGATTTTTTTCTTCTGTGTTCTAAAACTATCATCAAGGGTTTGGGCCCCAGCACTTACAGACCTCCCTTCCTCTGTGCACAGAGTGTGACCAGCAAGCTGGTCATGCTGGTTTTCCAACTGCACCTTTGTACACAAGACCCCATCCCCCCATACATACAGAGTGTGTGTGCTTTCTTTCCCTGGGTGAAGCAGCTCTGAACCATTTTATTACAGTTTGTACTCTTAGACCCTGAATGCACACTGAGGCATATGGCCATTCTCCGAAAGTCTTTGGTGTTGAGGGGACCCTGTGTCACCACCATTTCCCTTCCAGTGAGGACCGGTCACTTTGATGCAGAAATGATTTTCAAGACATTGAACAATTGGTACAGGACAGACTTAAGCCACGCAGAGAAGATATTCTTTGTGAAACAGTGGTAGGCGTTGCTATTAGTGCCTGGTAGATGACTGCCACTCTGCTCTCAAATCCCAACATGATGTCCTCTGAAATGTGGGGATTGCCTCTGATTTCTACACACTTTTGAGAGAGCTCTGTTCTGTCTCAGTAACAGCCCTGGCTTGCTCTGGGTACCACATACTGGCATAGGCAGGTTCATAGAAATCACTGGGCATTAAAGGCTCTGGGAGCCAAATTCCCATAGTCTATGTATCACCACTTCAGGACAGATCTAATCACTGCAGCCTGTTTCAGAAGCCGCCTGTCGGTGGGGAAACTTTCTTGATAACTTCGTGACCCCCTGCTGCTACTTCCTTAAGCTTGTGTCTTTTTCATCGATTTCATCACCTGGGAACACCCCTTTTCTTGTCCCATCTTTTTCCTCCTGAATTTTCATGTAACCTTTTTTGTACGGAAATTGGTGACTACTTCATGCACTGCCCAGGCCCCAGTGCACCCGAGAGGCATGCAATAGTGAGGAGCCCATCATGCAAGGAAGCCAGTGACAGTGTCACTGAGGAAAAGCCCTCTTCCCAAGCATCGATGCTTGAGTCTCTCTGTACATGTGTAGCTGCTGGAGGGTGGGGCTGCCTTTGTTAGCTCTGAGCAATCTGGTTATGGAACCTCTGGGTTTTTTTTTTTTTTTTTGTTTTGTTTTTTTTTTTTTCCTCATGCTGACATTTGCTGGGACCAGAGAAGTCCCCTCTTCTATGACAAGGGTAGCTTTTAGATGCATCTTGAGTATTGTCAGCCACTGTCCTGACATCCTGGTGATGTGAACAGAGGGGAGGGAGGCTGAGATTCAGGAATGTGTTGGTAGTGAAGCCTTGGCTGTAAAGGAAAGGAGGTAGGGTTCCCAAGTGGCCAGGTTGCTTCCTGATGACTATCAGGGAAGGGTTGCTCTAGGGAGAAGGTAAAGACCTGAAGAGAGATACTGTGCAGTTGCCAAATGTTTGGTTGCGTAACACACATGCAACTTGGGAAGGGTCAGGAGGCTCCAAGCTTTACCACTTGCAGCCCTATCCCAGAGCTCCTTAATTCATGAAAACCTGCCCTCATGGTAGAGGGAATGTGAGCCATATCTTCCCACAAGACAATGTGAATTGTCGTAGTTTCTCTGTCAGTGGTGGAACAGACTTTAAAATTACTTATACTTGTTGGATAAAATTCTGGCCTTGACTAAGTCCCTACCTTGCCCAAAATCTGGGGCAGTGATGGCTGCTGCCTTCCTGTCTCCCCTTGGGACAGTCTGTGTTCTGTGACCATCCTAAAGGACAGCTCCTAATTCTACTTTATCCTCTACCCGCTCAGTGGCTCAGCTCTCCAGATGCCCTCCTTAGCTGGGGAAGCAGGGATTATCCTTGTGTCCTGTCTCGTGATCCAGGGTTCATATCCTGAAGCTCAGGACTAGGGTATGAGGGCCTCAGGCCCCTAGGTTTTCTTTAATTTTTAACAAGCATCAGAGACACCATATCACTCATATGTATTTCCCTGTGACTTTACCGGTGTCTCCGAAAGTCTTTTGCAAGAGTGATAGCACCTCCTCCTAGGACTTTCAATTTTTTTTTTTCAAGACAGGGTTTCTCTATGTAGCTTTGGAGCCTATTCTGAAACTAGCTCTTGTAGACCTGGCTGGCCTCAAACTCACAGAGATTCGCCTGCCTCTGTTTCCCCAGTGCTGGGATCAAAGGTGTGGACTTTTAATTTTAATTTAACTGTGTATGCGTGGGTGTTTGCCTTCATGTATGTCTTCGTACCACGCGTGAGCCTGTGCCTGAAGAGAACAGAGGAGAGCGTCAGATCTGGAATCAGATTTACATACAGATGGTTATGAACTTCCATGTGGGTGCTGGGAATTGAACCCGGGTCCTCTTTTTAACTGCAAAACCATTCCCTCTGCTCCCAGGGATCTTAAACTGTGGAGGTGGGCCAGTTTGTCCCTCACCTCTCTCATACTCTTCAATTTCCAAGCCCCAGCACTGGATATTCACAGGCCATACACTGGATGGCCTCTGCCATCTTGACTTTCTCTGGTTGAAAATCCATTAGCCAGCCCTGGTTGTCAGGTGAGCGCTCACCCAGGCCTGTTGAGCCTCAGCTTTTCCAGAACCCTTTCTTTCTCTCCTTCAGTTCTTCCCACCATTGCTCAAGTTCCCTCTGAGGGCATAATCGTAATCAGAGATCCTGACGGTGCCACCAGTTGGGGTGAGGGCTTCAAGTTGAGCTGCTGCTGACACCTCTCAGCAAAGAAGCTGTATGGTTATGCTCTGACAGGACATGTTGAGGACAGACTAGGCGATATTAAGCTCCCATGTTTGACTGTATTGAGCTACATTCACTGTAAGCAGGAAAACATTCAAATCAGAGCAGATTTTTCTGCTATGACTATTTTAGGTGATTCTTAGTGCCCCCTCTCAGACACTCTTGCTCTGTGAGGTAGGTTCTCACTCTGTAGACCAAGCTAGTCTTGAGCTTGCAGCAGTTTTCTTGCCTCCCAAGTGCTGGGGTTTCAAGCATGTGCCACCATACCTGGCTTGCCTTTGGTCTCTCTGAACATTAGTTATAGGGAATGGATGGCTGACTAATTAGTTTTTCCTTCAGTTACCTTTTTTGGGGGCCAGAAAGGAGGATAATTTTCATAAGCAAAGGAGGTGTGAAGTGACTACCGATGTTTGGAGCATGCGAGGGGAATGGAATCTCTTCAGTAGCCTTCAGGAATGAGTCATCCATGGGCATAATCCTTTGAAGAGATTGTGTGTGCAATAGAAACGGAATGGTTTTAGGTCCTGAAGAGAAAAGGGATAGCGCCTCCCCCAAATCTAGCCCACTTGCAGCATTGGTGAATACAGAGCAGAGGGAGAACCTACCCTCCCTCCCTCCCACCTTCCTACCCTCCCACTCTCCCACAAGCCCTTTCTAAGCCCAGAAGCCATGGGCTGGCTTGGGCATTGCTTAGCAGGCTTCTGGGGGACTTCTATGGCAGGCTTTTACTTGTGTAATAGTGTTAGCACCAGAAGTACCAACCTGAATGTGCAGTTACTCCTTCTGAGGGAGAAGCCAAAATCCTTCCTGTTCCTCTCCATTTCTCTGAGATGCTAAGCCTTCCTCTTGTCTCGTTGCTGTCGTTGGTTAGAAGTGGCTGATGGCGTCTGGTGGAGAGCAGGGCAACCTTCCCACGGAAGGGGGCAACTTGAGGTGCTGGTACGTTTTCCTCATTTTCTATGTTCTTCTCTTTAGTAGGTCTCATGTAGAGGCAGATATTTTTGTTTTAGAGATTTCAAAGTCTATATTTTTAGTGTAATAAGTGTACGCCCTCCACACTCCATGGCGTAAAAAGAACTGGGAATAAAATGTGTCATTGTGATTATCCCATAGCAATGTGTGCTAGAAATAAGACCCCCTTCTGGTCTGTCTGTGACCAGGGCAGGTAACTGTGACAGTGTATCTCTTATCCCTCTGCCTGCCCACACTCCTGTGTTCTCTTCTTTGGGTGACAAATAAAGTCTGTATAAACTGTTTGCTTCTGTACTGCTTTTTCAGCCTGGCTTCAGGTCGTGTGTAGAAGACTCATGAAGAGGGTGGAACCAGGTGTGTGTGTGTTGGGGGGGGGTGTATC